CATAAGTGTCTTTTTTTTGGCGGGGGGGCTGGGGTTGTGGTTCAGTGGTTAAGTGCCCCTGGGTTCAATCCCTGGTTACCCACTCCCCCCGCCAAAAAAAAAGACACTTATGGCAACTTTCAAGTTCAAATTCATTATAAGATAGGTCATTTAGGGGAGAAAAAGAACTGAGGTCATTTAAACACAGCAGCAGAACAAGAGAACACTAGCAAGACTCAAGATGAGCCCATTGTTACTGCTGTACAAAAGCCAAACAAACTAGTTTTGACTTTGTGGCACTACAGTGAAGAGTGTTGAGAGACTCATTTTCTTTGCAAGAGATTCATCTTCAAAGACAGGCTTTTTTCAAGAACCAGACTTAGAATGAGACTAGAATTCATCCCATGAGTACAGGTTTGTGGATCTGAGGGGTGGTGTAAGTTACTTCATCTCCTTTTCACAAAAGACACAGCCATGGGCCAGCTGGCCTTGTGGACAGCTGTCATCAGAACCCCTTGAGGGGCTCAGAGGTTGCCACCAGGCCCGACGGTCCCACAGGAGAGGAAGCCAAGGCTTAGGCAGGCGGCACAGTGTGTCCAAGGTCTGCCCGGGAGCAGGAGAACCAGAATACGCCTGCTGTCTGACAGCGGAGCATCCCCTCCTCCCTTCAGAGAAGGGCCTCTGGGGACCACAGTGCTAGTGAGTGGTTAGTAGCTCTGGGGAGGCTGGCACATGACCAGGCTGGGACCCCATCCTTTCCTGTTTAGGAACATGCCAACCTGGTGACCCTGCCCACTCTCAAGCCCATTTACGAATATTTCCTGTCAGCAAACACTTTAGAAAAGTGCCTGGCTATTCAAGTGGGTGAGCAGAGGATGTCCAAGCCAAGTGGCCTCCCACTCCCAAAGGGGAGACCTATCCGGCCAGAGCCTGAGGGAGGTGGTCACACTGCAGGTGGTCCAGGTGCAGCCCTAAAAGCTGGCCTGGAATCTACCCTTGAATCCAGGAGGGTGAGCAGGGCAGGACCTGGCTATGACCAAGGTGACCAGTGTTTCCCTGAATCAACCCTGCAGCTCTCTCAGTTTTGGGGATAAAGTCAGGGGTCAGGGCACTTGAACCTCGGAGACATCACTGCCCCTATCTCTGGAAGGGCAGACACAGATGGTGACAGGGGCATGGGAAGGGAGAATGGAGTTGGCACACATACCTGTGGGGGGCATGGACGAACCCTGCTTGGGATGCCAGCGGTCAGTCTCTGCCAGACCCTGAGAAGGAGAGGGCTCAGCCACCTTGTGCGGTCAGCAAGAAAGGACCCTCTTCTCCACCCATCCCCCTTGTTTCAAGCCTTGTCCAGGATGCCTCTGGGGACACCTTGGCACAATGCTCCTCCAGGCTCCCAGAGAAGATGCCCTGGCACTGCCCCATGAGCACAGCCTCCCCTCCAGGGGCACGGGTCTTTTGTCTCCAAATTCCTCCAGGACAGAGCCTTTCCCTGTGCTACTCTGCACTTTCCTCTTCCCTCTGGCCCCCTGCTCCCCACCTGGCACTGAGCTGGTGGTCCCCAGAATGCTCCTGACTAAAAGCCTGACAGAGCAGTACCAAGGAAGACAAGTAGAGGAAATGATGAATGAATGGAGAGAGAGGAAGACGCAGGTGCAGGAGCAGTGCTGGGGGGCAGAGAGGCCGCCCCCAACCTTGCACCCCACCTGCTGGGTCTGCAGCTTCCCACTCACCTCACTAGGCTGGGGAGGCAGTGGTCCCGGCTGGGTGGAGAAGAAGGTTGGAGTCCTGGCTGTGGAATGGCCTCTGAGAAGAAAAATCACAGAGGGAGCTCCAGGGGCTCTCCCAGTCGGAGCACCCCCCACAACCAGGAGGAGTCAGGGGTCTCTGGGCGAGGTCTGGGCATTCAGGAAGGATGCTGCCTGCTAAGTGGTGCTCAGTTTGCTGTGTTGAATCACCAGGAGGACCTGTAAAGTACGCATCTCTGGGTCCACCCCGAGAATCTGCCTGTCTAACAAGTTTCGGGTGCTGCTGGCCCAAGGGCCATATTTGAGAACCACAGAAGACCAGACTAGGAGAGGTCTAGAACCTGAGAGACCATGGGGAAAGGGCCTCGGGGTGCCCAGATGCAGCTCCTGGCATGAGGGTCTGTGGGCCCCTGGGTGGAAGGAAATGCCAGTTATTTCTTAAGGAACTAATGCAAGGACTGTCCCTTGGGGAGACGGAAAGGCCCAGGAGTACAGAGGTTGCAGGAAATGCAGGGCTGTCCCTCCAAGTCCAGGCCAGACCCCAGGATACCTGCCAGTGTCCACAGGCAGGGGCCCACAGCCCTCCTCATCAGAGCCATCCTCACAGTCTGCTGCACCGTCACATGGCACCCCCCGCAGAGCACATTCACCATTGGCACAGCGGTGCCCAGCCCCTGGGCACGGGGGCACTGGTGGGGACACTGTGGGTAGGGGGGTGTTGTGAGGGCTACCGCCATCCCCCTGCTCCCTCCTGGTCCTCCCGTTCCCAGCCCAGCCTGTACCTGGCTCACAGCCCAGGAGCTCCACCCACAGGAAGAAGCCAGGCTGCCTGTCGCTGTGGGGGACACTGTGTGGCCACACCCTGATGTACCTTGCCTGCACCATCCGGCTGAAGGCCCACACCTTGGAGGCCACATCTTCCCAGTTCCTGGGGAAAGACTGAAGCACAAGGTGCCTGCTGACCGAGTCCTGCCTCTTTCTCAGGCTGCCGTTGTGGCCCTACTGAGTGACCCTCCTCTCTGCTCAATCTTCACAAAAATCCTGCCTCTGCCAGAGCCCATGTCCCCCTGGTTGTAGCCACCTAGTCCCTCAAGGCTGTAGGGGGTCTGGTCCTGGCCTAAGCTCCTCCCACTGAGGTGGCAGGATTCCTATGGCAGGGGCCAGGTCCCACTCAGAGCTGTGACCACAGGGACAGCCCAGCACCGGGGACAGAGCAGGTACTCCTTAAACAGGTCAGAGGGAACACCTGTGGACTGATCCTTCCTGGTCGTGGGCCTGTCTCCAGGCGGCGGAGCCAACCCCGCAGAGAGGGCGGCACTCAGGCTGCTCCATATGGACACACGTGGGTCTGGGCCTCCAAGGCCCTCTGTGACTTTAATGTGTCCCCACCTTCCCCCTTCCCAGGCTGCTGTCGACAGTGACACTCCGGCCCTCTATTCCACAGAATATAGTCCCTATTACTTACCAGTTATTCCTTAAGCAACTAATGCAAGGACTGTCCCTTGGGGAGACCGAAAGGCCCAGGAGTACAGAGGTTGTGGAATCCACAAAGGGGATGTTGGGTCACTGGCCTGAGAGGCCTTGGGCATTTAGTACCTTGGGTGGGGACAAGGTGCCAGGCAGGATGTCACGGTAGTCCTGCCAGTGTAGACCATCAGAGCTGAACTGAAGCGAGAAGCTGCTGACATGTGGGCTGGAGGAGGTGGGCCCCCACACGAAGATGCCTGGAGGGGCCGGGCCAAGGGCGAAGTCAGAGCTGAAGGACCAGTTCCCCCCCACTTCCTCCCCACCCCCCGCCTCCTCACTGACCAGTGAGGTTCCGGGGCTGGAGCAGGTCCAGCTGCAGGAAGGGTGGCCCGCTGTGCCACTCAGCATAAGCACCCGCTCTGGGGCCAGGTCCTTTGGTGGGAGCCCCCAGGAGGGCAGCCCAGGTGGGGTGCTCCAGCTGCCTTGACCATGTCCACAGACTCCCCGGGGGCAGAGCCAGGCCCAGGGGAGAGTAGCAGGCATCTGGGGGCAGGAGGGGAGGTTGGAGGGGGCAGGAGGGGGTGCCAGAGGCATGCCATAAAGGGATCTGGGGAAGAAAAGGGCCACACAGGTGACCCTGACCCAGGACAGGGGGCGGGAAGGGCAGAGCTGGAGATGGGACAACTTCCTCAGCACTCCCAGTGGTCTGCTTCCCTCCCAGGGCACCCCTCTCAGCTGGGTCCTTACCCCCTGGGGGAGGCAGAACATAGGTGACCAGAGGAGGACCCATCTGGGGACTGGGGGCTGGAGCAGGGGCAGGAGTGGCTGTTGGAGGCACTGTCTGATTCTCTGCTGTGTAGGGAGACCCAAGGGTCAGGAGGAAGAGACCCAGAGAGGCTCTCGCCAGCCCCTCGCTCAGCAAGGTCCTTCCCATTTGGAGCACTTTCTCTCCCACGACAGCCCAGAAATCCCAGAACCACCCCAGCAGGAAAGGACACCTCTTTCCCTTTGTATGAATGGAGGTTTTACATATTTCCACTGAATATTCAGAGCACACAGAATAGAACTGCCAGTGCAAAGCCACTTCAGGACTAGGACAGAGCAGGTGCAGGTGCAGTTGCTAACCCAGGACTGCTGTCATTAATTACAACCTTGTGGGCATTAGAAAGGGGCTGCCTCTGGATGGAAGCAGTCCTGGGGCTGGAGGCTAGTCCCCACTGCTGGCAAAAATTGTCCAGTGAACCACATGTACAACCGTGTGTGCTCTGGCTTGATCCCAACCTCATCAGCCTATAGGTACACTTTTAGAATAAGGAAGCTGGACCATCCCCAATTCCCTCCTAAAGTCCTCCTCCCCTTGGCCCCTTCTGCTACTACCCAGACCCACTTACCAGGCAGGGCACAGTGGCAACACGATTCTCCTACTCCCTCCACCAGGATCCAACCCTGTGGAGCACAGAAATTAGCCACTTGCCCACCTCTAACCCACTCCATTGGCCTCCACAAGCCTGGCCTCCCATCACCCCTCCAGGCTCCCAGGGCCTCACCTGGGGACAGCTGCCCAGTGGGCAATAGGGGGAGCAGTGCACGGTGCCCATATGCAGACATTGGCATACCCTGCAGGGGCCCCCACGCCAGCGCTCCCCGACCTGGTGTGTGTGGCCCTGCTGCTCACAGCCCTCACAAGGCTGTGTCTGGCACCTGGGGAGGAAGGGCAGCCTCAGCATGGGGAGGGCTCACTAACAGTGATCACCCTCCTGGTTAGCCTGGATTGAGGGTATTTCAGGATTGGGGACTTCAAGTGATAAGACTGGAAAAATCCAGGGTTAATGTCTGGTCATCACCTTGAACCCCATCCCACTCCTGAATTCCAGAAATTGTAACAGGCCCCAAATTGGGGAAGCAATTTGTGCCAGCTCCACCAGCCAGCAGAGCTGGTCCCAGCAGGGCGTGCAGGCGGAAATGGCTGTCCCCCAAAAGCTTCACCCCGCACACCTCCAGAGACACAGGGGACCCATTCCCACTCCTGCATTTGTCGAGCTGCGCGTGTGGGCTCCGTTTGCCCTGCTTTGGATCTAGATGGCACAGCACTAAAGGAGGAAAAGGCTGGGTCTCCAGGGGGTTCTGGGGTTTAGGCTGGGAGGGCACTGAGCAGTGATTTGGGGTCTCTCGTGGGAAGGGGCATGCAGGAAGAGCGAGCGTGAAGGCGAGGGCAAGGTCCCTGCTGGTACCTGCGAGCCTTGCGGTGGATGCCTCGGCACTGGCGACCTCGGCCGGAGAGGCGGGGGTTGTTGGGGCTCCGGAAGGACCACTGGATGCTCTGGCTCCCACAGGGGCCCAGGCACTCGGCCCAGGGGGACCAGGAGGACCAGCCACAGTTTACTGAGAGAGGGCAAGAATTAGGGCCAGGAGGCAGAGGTGAGTGCCCAGCTGGGTAGCCTGGGAGGAGACCAGGGACCTTGAGAGAAGGGCCACAGGATGCAGGGTACTCACTGGCACAGTCTGGGTTGGGCCGGCAGCGCCGGGGCCTCCCATCTTGGCAGACACAGAGCTGGCAGTTGGCTTTGATATGCTGCCCAGGCCAGTAGCGGGCACCATCCACCAGGCAGGGGCACTGCCGGGGCCACACACACTGCCCCTCACTGCCCAGCACCTGCCCTTCTGGGCACCAACAGCCTAGGGAAGAAGCACGGTGAGGTTTCCAGGCAGACACTGTGGCCTCCACAGAGCCCGATCGCGGAGCCCCCTCACCTGGGCTGCTGCAGGGCCTGTGGGATGAGCAGATAGCCTGGCCAGAGATGTCATCGCAGGTCAGAGGGCAGGGGGCACAAGGCTGGAACACCAGCTCCCCAGAGCAGGTGGCATTGGGACAGCCATCCTGAGGGCAGGGCTCTGAGAGTGGGGTCAGAGACTGGGGAGGGAGGAACAGCAGCAAGGACAGGTGTCCCCCCAGCAGCCTCCCGCCCCCCACCTGTGCCCTCTCCCTTCCACTCACCAGTCTGACGGGTGCTATGAGGGCCCCCGGGCAGAAGGGCACAGGCTTGGCCCCCATTCTGGGGTGGGTGGCACTGCCGCTGCCTTGTCCTGGTGCCCCCACAAGGCTCAGAGCACAGAGACCAGGAAGACCAGGAGCTCCACTCACCATCCACTGTGAGGGGAGGGATGGGGCGGGAGGGGGTGGGAGTGCAAGGCAGGGTTGAAGGCCCTCTCTCCAGGCTCCCTTGTGTTCCCAGCCCCTTACCTGGGCAGGCCTTGGTAAAGCAGGCCTGTGACTGGTGGGCGGGGCCTGGGCAGTGCTGCAGCACCAACAGCCCGGATGGGGAACAGCTGCGGCTTTGGCTCTGCACCCCCAGCCCACAGGTCTGGCTGCACGGCCCCCATGGGCTCCAGGGACCCCAGGTCCCACAGCCCTGTTCTTCTGGGGAGAGTCCTGCCTCTCCTACCAACTCACAGTTGGGCTGCCCATCACACACCTGGGGGAGCAACAGGCTCAGGGCTTCTGCATTGGTGCACGGCTCTGCCTGCCACCTCCCCTTCCTGACCCTCACCAGGTGAAAACCAAGGCAGTCGCCATTGGGGCAGGAGTATTCTGGGCAGGGAAATTCTGTCCTGTTGAGACTTCCTGGGGGTGGCAGTCCCTCTGGGGAGCAAGAGAGAAAACCAGTTTGCAGGGAGTTGCAGCTACCTCCGGGCAAGCACCAGCTGCAGACCCATGAGAAGTGTTCATACCACAGTCCAGCTCATCCTCGCCCTGGGGACAGTCGGGGACCCCATTGCAGTGCTGCTCAGGGTTCAGGCACAGCCAGGGAGCCAAACCACAGGGCAAGAGGCCATGGCACAGGGGAGGCTGGGTGGAACCTGTGGGCACAGTAAGAAGGGTCCTGCTGTGCTCCTGTCCCTCCTACTCCATCTCTGCAGAAGGGCTGGCAGGGAGGGCCTAAAGGCACTGGGGGAGGAGGGCAGGCAGGAGGCAGGGCCAGCATGGGGCTCTCCATGGCCAAAGAAACCCTTGGAGGAGTGTAGGAGGGGTGGATTCTGGGGAGGAGCCAGCCCTCGCAGGGGAAGTGGCCAGGACCAGAAAGACCAACTTGTCAGGGCTACAGGGGTTCAACCGAGGTGGGATGGGGAGAAAATGGGGACAGGGGAGCCCTACGAACAGACCCACTCCCTAGGCCCTCAGAGCCAACACCCACTCTCTTGTCCTTTCTTGTCCCAAACCAAAAGCCCCTTCCTTCTCCACTGGGCCTAGGAAGGAGGGCAAAGAAAGTTTCATTAAAAAGATCAAAGGGCGGGTCTTGCTGGTCACCCCTGTAATCCCAGCCTTTCAGAGCATGCTCAGAGCCAACCTCAGCCACTTTACAAAGCCCTAAGCAACTCAGTGAGACCCCCATCACTAAATAAAATACAAAAAAAGGGCTGGGGATGTGGCTCAGTGGCTAAGTGTCCTGGATTCAATCCCTGGTACAAAAAAAAAAAAAAAAAAAAAAAATCAAAGGAACACAAAAGTTGCTCAGACTGATGTCTCCAAACCTAAGTCACTGTCTAGCTGTGCGCAGGGGGTGCTTGGGGAGGGCCGCGCAGGACAGGGGCGACTCTCACCGCAGGCGTCTGGGCCCTCGTCAGAGCCGTCGGGGCACTGCGGCACGCCGTCGCACAGTTCCCCGGGGGACACGCAGTGTGGGCCGCGGGCGCAGGGCGCGTGGTGCAGCGCGCAGGGCTCACCGCAGCCCAGCTCGTCGCTGCCATCGGCGCAGTCCTCCTCCTGGTCGCAGCGCCAGCCCCGCGGGGTGCACTCTCCGCTGCCACACGGAAACTCCAAGGGGCCGCAGCTCCGTGCTGGTGGGGGTGGGGGTGGGGGTGGGGGTGGGGGGCTGCACTAGACCCCGCCGGAGTGGACCGGCTTCCGCAGGCGGGTCTCGCCCTCCCACAGCGGCTCCTGGCTCACCTCCCCCTGCTCCAGGCTCCAGTCGTCCTGCCCCTTACCTGAGCCAGCCCTCCCCACCTTCAGTCCCTCCTGGAGTCCAACCCACCCCTGTATTCTGTTGCCCTATTGGTGTCCCCAAATTTCTCCCTGGTTCAAGAACTTCCCTTAGATTCCCCTAACTCAGAGAAGGCCTTGGGTACAGAAAATGAGGCTGGACCTCAGTTCCCCTCAAATGCCCTCCACCTCTTTTGGCTCCATCCCCAAAGCACCACCCACATGCCTTCCTCTGTGGTCCCATCCCCATCCTCCCCAGCTTTCTCACCCCATCTTCTCCAGGAGACTCACCAGGGCTGGCACTGCCCAGCAGACTTGAGGCACCTTCCAGGGAGCCAGTAGAGGGGCCAGGCAGGGTGCCAGCTGGGGGCACAGGCAGAGAGGGCAGCGGGCAGTATCCAGGCCCCTCGTCGGTTCCATCTGGGCAGTCCCAAACTCCATCACACAGCTGGATGGTCCCCACACAAGTGCCGTCCATACAGGACACTTCCCCAGGGGTGCAGTTCACCTGCCCTGCAGCCAGAAAGGAGGAGCTGCTCCCAGAACATTGCCCCCTTTTCTCACTACTTGGGGTGCCCCCACTCACAGGTGCCAGCTTCACAGGCAATATATAACCTGGCAAAGAAGTGGGCGGGCGAGGCTGGGGCAACCAGGAGCTGGGCCTGGTAGGAGAGCGTGCCTGGTGGGCCCAAGTCCAGAGCAGAAACAACTAACCCAAACAGGACTCCTCATCAGCGGCGTCTGGACAGTCGGGATGCCCATCACACAGCAGGGTGAGGGGCAGGCAGCGCCCATCAGCACAGGCCAGCGAGTCATAGGGACATGGGCAGCCCTGTTCATCTGTGCCATCTCCACAGTCATCCTGCCCATCACAGAGCAGGGACAGGGGCAGACAGTGGCCGGAGCGGCATGACATCTGTCCCTCCACACAGCCTGGGGTGGCGCAACCTGGCATAGGGTAAGCAGGCAGGCTCAGGACGCTGGAGTCAGAGAAACCCATAACCCTAGAAGGACTGGAACTCCCTACCTGTCCCTCATTCCCCAAGTCATAACTGCTGGCCCTGGAAGCAGCAGCTCAGGAAGCTACCCTGGGGACACCTGCTGCACACCCAGTGAACTCAGGTACCTATGCCTGTCACACAGGTGAAAGCACTCACCCTCCTCATCTGAGCCATCGCCACAGTCGTCTTGGTTGTCACAAAGCCACTCATGTGGAATACAGTGCCCACTTCCCTGGCAGGGAGACTCTCCTTCGGCACAGTCAGGCACCAGCTCCTCACAGGGGGCACTGTCACCCCCACAATGCCACTGGCTTTCCCGGCAAGTGCTGAATATGGTATCCTGGGATCAGCCACGGCTGGGCGTGGCCAGTCCAGGGGCACAGGGTCCACCCAGGTACTCCCCACTCACCAGTTCCCACAGTCCTTCTGCAGCACAGTCCCTGGTGGGAAGAAGCTGCCACCCCACTCACAGGGACAGGCAGATGGCTCCATGCAGATTCCTCCTGAGATCACAGAGCACAGGACTCCAGAGGGAAGGGGGCACAGTGCCCCTGGCCCAGCCCACCACCATGGTCATGTGGCCCTTTCCCATCACACAGCTGGATGGTCCCCACACAAGTGCCATCCATGCAGGACACTTCCCCAGGGATGTCCCCTCCCCTCTGGCCTTTCTGACTACGCACCATGCAGCAGAGTCCCTTTGGGGCAAAAGCAGCCCTCCACACAGGCAATGGCCCGGCAGTGCCATCCAGGCTCAGCATGGTGGGTAGGGCAGGCGGGAGGACAGGTGGGGCCACAGGCCTCATATACTTGTCCCCCTTCACACTGCAGGGCTGGGTGGAGGGAGAGAGGCTCAGCTCACTCAGGTACAAGGGCACCAGGTGAGTCAGCCCAAGGTGACACCTATGGAGGGCACAGAGTTCATATTGTAGACCTTGGCTGAGACCCTCCCAAGGTGATGTGGGACACATGGGCCCTGTGGGTCAGACATTCTTGCATGTTTGGTTCAACTGGAAGTGTCTGGCACACGGTAAGCGTGTAGCACATGTTTGAACTTCTGACTAAGTGTCCAGCTGGTGGGCAGGCTAAGCACCATTCAAGGGCCATGCAGGTGACAAGTCTGAGAGTTGGGAACACTCACGGCAGAGCTCCTGGCTGCGCCAGCGCACATGGTGCCCATGCCGGGCACACTCGTCTGCGTAGGCGGCAATGGCAGAGCACAGGCACTCACAGTCGCCCCCTGAATCGCAGCTGTGGGAGGAAGCAGTCGGCTCAGCAGCCCCGCGCTGCCCCCACACACTCACTGTCCCCCCACTCGGGCCAGCCTTCCTCACCCACAGGTGTCGTACACACACCACTCGTAGTGCTGCTGTGGGGGCACCTCTGTGTGGCATGGGACGAAGAGCTGCTGGAGCATCACTCCGCAGCGGGCACGGGCCCAGGCTGCGCGGTGTGTGTTTACCTGCAGCACAGGGCACCATCTCCAGCATCCTGGGCCAACTAGACACCTGCCCCAGCCCTGAGCTCTGGCAGGCCCACCATCCCTCCCGCTGTCTGCCCGAGCTCACCGTGCAGGGGTGTGGCGGGTCTCCTGGCTCAGGGCAGAGCGCACTGAGGCGCCAGGAGTGGGCAGCCAGCTCAGCTGTGGGCTCCAGGACTCCTTGGCGACTCCGCAGGTCATTACTGGCGTCTCCATCAAAGTCTCCACATAGCCCAGCCACACGACCACGGAAGTGTGGGGACAGCTGTATCAGGACCCGGGTGCCTGGTGGCATCATTGTAAAAAATGACCCTGGTACCCTTCAGCAGGGCTGGGGTCAAGAGAAGACCCAGGGACATAATACTGCCCTGCATGGGTACCCCCACCCAACAGAGAGTGCTGGTTCCCTCTTTTCTGAGGGGGTGGGTTAATTGGTGGTCATAAATGAAGAGACAGACACTGGAGAGGAAGGGCCAGAAGTAAGAGCCTAGTTTCCTAAGCAAACTTAGGTTGGTGCCTGTAATCCCAGAGCCTAGGGAGGCTGAGGCAGGAAGGTTGTAAGTTCAAGGCCAGCCTAGGCCACTTGGTGAGAACCTGTCTCAAGATATATTAAGAAGTGCTGGGGATGTGGTTCAATAGAGAGCACCCCTGGGTTCAATCTCTGGTACCACAAGGGGGAAAACAAAACTAAGTTTGGAAAACTCCCCATCTGGCTGCATTCTGGATGGGAAACCAGGATGGGCTGAGGCTTTCCCACACCAGAGTCCTGGTGGCGAGGCCTAGAGGCAGCCTGGCTCTGCCGCGCCGAGTCGCTACAGGGTTATTTTGGCTTCCCTCAATTTCTCACTGAGAGTTCTGTTTCTAAAACGCCAACTGCTTGTGTTTGGGTGGTAGAATGTTGAATCTATTTTCATTTCTTCTTCCTAAAACTTGGTATTTTCTAAATATTTCTTGGGTGAGGCAGCATTGCTTTCATAATGAAGAAAAACAGGATGAAAACATAATTTGGAAACTCTGACCACTTGTTCGGGCAGTGAGGTGGGGGTGGTGTTGGGCTGGGGGTGCCCAGTGGAGGCCAGCAGGGCAGGGGAGGCCAAAGATCCTGGTCTGGCTGTTACTCTGGATATCTGCCTTTGAGGGTTGTTGGAAGCTCAACCCTGATCTCAGAGCTGGGCAGGCGCAGGGAGGAAGGGTTTGGGGGGAGTCCAGTCCATCCAGTACTAAGGCTGGGTGTGGGTCAGGTGCATAAGGGTGGGGCCTAACCTCCATCCCAGAGCAGGGTGAGGCCCAGGCGTGTGGTCAGCAGCAGGAAGAGGCCTGCACGGTGCAGACTCATCCCTGGGCCTGTGTAGGCCTTGGGGGGTGTTACACTCACCCCGTTCACCGTCACTGCCCGGCCTGGAGAGGAGGAAAGGTGTTCAGGGCCAGCATGGAGTGAAGGGCCTCCCAGGTCCCGTGAAGCCCTGCCCTCTTCCCCTTCAAACCTCCTTTAGCCTCTCTACCTCTGTGACCTTAGGAAAGTCATTAGACTTCTCTGGAGCCTGGTTTATCTGAGAAATTATGATTCCAACCAGGAGGAGAGCCACCCGTCCCACCCCTCTGAGGACAACCAAGCCCAGTGAGGACTCGACCTAGGAACCTGGACTTTGGCCACCCTGGTGTGTGGCTGTTATACTGTGCTGGAGTGCCCCCACCCCCTGTCAGGGTCTCCTTGCAATGTCACGGCCACCTCTGAGCATGTGCACAGTAGTGCTCTCCAGACGCACGGTCAGTGCCTTGGTGCAGGTGAGGCCGCTGGCCCCGCAGGGCAGGTTCTGGGCAGAGACGCTGAAGCGGCCACTGGCCTCTCGAACCAGCAGGTACTCGCAGGCTCCGGGGAAGGTGAGTGTCAGCCCATCAAACGTCACATAGTGGGGGGCACCTGATGCCTGGCACCATCCACTGCACAGCTGGCCTGTGCAATGCCACTGTCGGCCCTGGCACACACTGTGGGCAAGGGGCAGGGACAGAGTCACTGAGGAAGGGACCTGAGCTGTAGCAGGGGAGGCAACTGGTCCAGATTCCTGCGACTCCAGATAGGACCCCAGTGTGGAAGATCCCAGAGGTCCCCAGTGCCCAGCCCAGCCCAGATGCCCTACCCCACCTATCACCCCAACTCATTCTAGTGGGGGGAAACATTGTGTTTGGAGAGCCAGTAGTCACAAGGCCAGAAGGGTGTAGGTCAGGGGGGCTGGGCATACCAAGTGTTGCAGTTGTCCTGGATGGTGGCATTAGGTGGGTACCACTGCCCACTATGACGGCAGGGACAGAGATCAGGAGGCACACAGCGCTCATCCTGGGCAGAGAGTGGGGACACTGTTTGGGGCAGCTAGGGGAACAGGACAGTGCCCTGGTGCTGGGAAGGCCACTCTGGTGCCCCATCCCATCCCCTCCCAGCCTCACCAGCAGCACAGTGCCTGGAGGGCAGACACAGCCATCAGTGCTGCCCATGGGGCAGGAGTGGTTGGCACTGGGGCTGTCACAGGTGAGGAGGCAGGCTCCAGGAGCATGGACAAGTTCCCCGGGGCAGAATGCACGCTGCAGGGCGCAGTGGTGGGCGGTGCAGTTCCAGAGGCCCCTCTCCTGGCAGATGCTGCGGGAGGGTGGAAGGGGAAAGAGGCAGGCCCAGCAGAGATTCAGCCTCCAGGCCACTGGTCTGCTCTGCCAAAGTCCAGGAACCCAGACGCTGGGGACCCAGGCACCAGATCCATTTCACTGAAACCCAGCTCTGATGCCGGAGCCCTGAGCGCTGCACCTCCCAGCACCCCAGCCTGCTATGATCAGCCCCTCCTCTCCAGCCCTCCCTCTTCAGCCCATATTCTTTCTCTTGCCCCCCAAGCCATCATCCTCACCAGCGATTGCAGTCCTTCATGGTGACACTGCCAGGGGTGTAACGATGGGCTCCAAGCTGGCAGGAGCACAAACTGGGGGGGACACACTGGCCCTCAGGGTCCCACAGCAGGCCAGGGGGGCAGTTACAACCAGCCACACAGCCGGTCAGCTCCTTACAATCCTCTGGCTCTCCGCAATGGTGACCACACACTGGAGCGCACTCCTGGTACTCTTGGCCACCAGGACACAGGACAGCTGGACCCAGGGACATGTGCATATCAGGAGCATAGTCAACCCCTCTGGAACATACCCCTGCTGTGCTTCCCCAGGAAGAAAAGCCCAGCAACCCCCTAAGGTCAGAGGTTCCTGCCCTCTCCAGCTTCTCCTAGAAGGGGCCAGAAGGAGGAGGTGGGAGGGAGCGTGAGGTAGGGCTGCCTGGGCGGGGGCTCACGGCAGAGAGTCTGGTTCCTCCAGGACAGCAGGGCGCCCTCCTGGGCACAGCGGTGCGCGTAGGCAGACAGCACGGCACACAGGCAGTCCCTGCCAGGGGCACAGCCACACACTGCCGCCAAGCAGCGCAGCTGGAATGGCTCCCTGTCCACCAGCCTGTGGCAGTCCTTGGGAAGAGAGGAAGCGGGGCTCTTCCTTATGAACTCCTCATTCTCTTGGGTCCCCATTGCTGCCTCCCTGTGACTGGTAGGCCACCCCGGCTACCTGGAAGGCTGGGCCATGCAGGATGGCACAGACTGCCTCTGCAAAAGCAAGGTGCTGGGAGTGTGTGCTGCAGGGGAAGAGCAGGACACTGTCCCCAGAGGAGCACTTTCCATTGCCTGCCACCTGGAACCTGCTAGCAAAGTCAGCAGTGCTGGTCTCCACATCCCCAGCTGGTGTCAGGAAGTCATCCTGCTGGTTCCAAGTGAAGGTACCACACAGACCTTGGACCTGGGCCGTGGAGACCATGTGGGACAGTCACATTCAGACTCAGCATAACCTTTCCCAGCCTTTCACCGGCCTCCTGGCACACCTGGTGGGCATGGTGGGGGGCCAGGGTGACGTAGGCTGCAGGGTCAGCCACTCCCCAGAGGACACGGACTCCTGGCCAGCGTAGCAGCAGAAAGGTGGAGGCGGCTCTGGAGATGCTGAGGCCCGCAGTGCCAATCCAGGGCAATCCCACATCCTGCCCATCCACCAGCACAGCTCCTGGAAAAGGAGCCTGATGATGGGGTGGCGGGGGGCAGGTGGGTGGATGGGGCTGCAAGAACAGAAGGACTCGGGTGGGAGTGGGAGGGCCTGTATCGGAATGGGACCATCAGAGTGACCCTCAGAGGCCACCAGTCCCACTTGAGACTCCCCCTATGGGAAGTCTGGGAAATGATCCATCTTTATTGCGGGGGAAGGGCTGGTGTGAGTGAATGGTTCCCATTTCCTCTGGTTTTGTCTTGTGTGAAGTGGCTATGACAAGCCTGTCTTGTCCCATCTGTGAAAGAGGATTATAAGGATAAATTTCTTTGGTGGCTTTGAGGTGGCCATGACAGCAGGACCTTTACTGGAGCAAAGAAGGATGCCTGTTAGTGCTCCCCTCCCTTTTTGAACCAAGAATTAAACCCAGGGGTGCTTAACCACTGAGCCACATCCCCAACCCCTTTTTATTTTGAGACAGAGTCTTGCTAAGTTGCTTAGGGCCTTGCTAAGTTGCTGAGGCTGGCTTTGAACTCTCGAACCTCCTGCCTCAGCCTTCCAAGCCTCTGGGAATACAGGCATGTGCCACCATGCCCGGCTTCAGTGTCCAGTTTTGCATGTCTTTTTCCCGTTGTGGCTGGCACAAAGAGCTGGCACAAGAGAGCGAGGAACTGACCTGGGCATGGGGGAGTTGGAGGGACAGTGGCTTAGAGGGGCCTGCCTGGTCTGGTCATGATGAGATCTTTTAGATTTTCATAACAGTATGACTTGTGTTTTCCCCAAAGATGAGGCAGAAGAGGCCTTGGGACACGTCCTCAGGACAGTGTGTCTTCCTCAGAGATGGGAGGGGGCAGCTGAGGCAGTGAACCCGGCTGCAGAATCTGGGGCAGAGTTGTTGGGCTCTGAAGGGTGGGGAGTGTGGAAGGCAGGGACTGGATGGTACCCAAGTCTTCTGGGTGAGAAGAGGGGACAGTGGGCGTGGCAGTCACCCTGAGAAGGTAGACCTGAGGCTACCTGAGTCTCTGAGCTGGATGTGGGTATCCCCCAGTGAGACAGACAGGGCATGGAGGCAGCTCCCAGAGTCGCAGTCCCCATGCTCCAGCACGATCAGCAGCTGCCCTTTCACGTAGTCCTAGGGACAGACAGAGGAACACAGGGCTGGGCAGACCCTCCGTTTCCCTGAGGAGGCCTCTGCAGATCTTTAGCCTCATCCAAGGCAGCTCCTACCCATGTGGGAGCTTTCCAGCCAGACAGACACTGTGAGAGATGGGGCTTGACCCTAGCCAAGATTAGCACACACAAATGCTTGTGCAAGTGTGTGCATGGGGTTGCACGAGTATATGTGATTGCACATTTGTTTGTGTCTGCATGAGGGAGGGATGATTCCCATCTTTCCTCCCCGTGGGTAGGACGTTACACTCCAAATGACTTACACTTGCTAAATCTATGTGTGCATGCCTGAGTGTGCTGTGTGCCTGCCTGTTTGTGTCTGCGTGCATACAGGTGTGTGTGTGTGCACCCACTGGTCTTTGTGTGCCTCGGGGAGATGGCTGCTTAGATCCTACTCAGCCAGTCTCTATGCCCCACACTGCCCATGAAAGGAGGGGTGCAAACAAAAGAATGTGAATGGTCCACTACTGGAATGGGGACCCTGGATGAGTGGAAAGGAACGTGATCTGTGCTGACCCTGGGAAATGACCCATCTTTATTGGGGGAGGGCTGGGATGGGAGAAGGGTCCTTATTCCCCCTGGGGTTGTCTTGTTGAAGTGGCTCTGACAAGCCTGTCCTGCCCCATTTGTGAAGAGGACCATAAGGATGGCTTTCTTTGGTATCCCTGAAATGGCCATGACAGCAGGACCTTCACCAGAGCCAAAGGAAGGGGTGGGAACCCAAAGAGAGGCTCTGGGGTCTGGGGAGCTGGTCTACCTCCAGCATTGTCCTTCTGGGCTTTTCCTTGCAGGGTTAGGGTTTTGCTTTATTTTTACTTTTTTGTGCTTTCCCTATAGCCCCCCTCCCCTGGACACCTTGGGGAGGGACCCTTCTCTGGTAAGATCCCTTTCCCAGAGTTGGTCCTCTACCCACCTGCACCAGGCTGTAGTGGCAGCCTGGGTGGCCCCGGAAGAAGAAGCTCCGCCCATCAAAGGTGAGGTAATGCCCATCGCCACCTACTGCACACTCAGCAGGACACAAGGCCTGGGCACAGTGCCAGTGGCCATCCTGGCACACACTGTGGACACATGGGTGGGACAGGGCAGTGTGGCATCAGTCCCACCCTGGGGTGGGGAGGCTAAGCTGGAGTCAGTCCCCCAAACCCTGCTCCCTTGCCTCTCTGATGTCCCCACCACCCCTGGAAAGGGTAGAGGTCAGCTGGTCAGGGCTTTAAGAAAGGCCATCAGTTATGTCAGCAGAGATCACAGGTCACTGTGATCATGCCAGGAGGGAGCACAGCCAGAACAGCCTGGCTGTTTGGGGGAGGCAGGTTTCAGAGAAAACATAAAGGGCAGGACCAGAGACAACCACGCTGCTGCCACCCCATCAAGGCCTGAGGACCCACCACGGGTTACACAGCTGGTGCACAGTGTCGCCAGGGGCATAGCGCTGGCGCCGGTGGTAGCAGGGGCATCTGGAGGCAGGCACACAGAGGGCACCATCCCAGAAGAGGCCAGGTGGGCACTCGCAGCCACTCACACACTCTTCCCTGCAGGACCCTTCCTCTTCCTGGCCCACTGCTGAGCAGCTGGGGGGGCAGGAGGAGACGCAGTCGGAGTAGAGCTGACCCCCGGGGCATAGACGCTCTGTGGACATAGGAGTCGGCTGTGAGGGGCTGAGGTGTTCCACCAGACCCTGCTGACTCTGAAGAGCCAGGAAGCCAGGGGAGCCAGCTGGGAGGGTGCCCAGGGGTGGCAGTGCCTTCAGAAAATGAGGCCCTTGAGGACCCTCGGTCATTTTCACAGGGCAAGACGGTCAAGTAGTACCACAGAAGCCAGGCTTCCTCCAGAGCACGTGGATGCGTCGCCTGGCACAGGCCTGGGCATAGTTGGCAAAGGTGGCACACACAGCCTCCTGCCGCCCCTCTTGGTGCCCCAGAGCAGCCCCTGCACAGTAGGCAAAGAGGCAGGCCTCGTGGTACTCATCGGGGGAGACCTGCAGAGAAAGATCGGCCTGTCAGCTGGCAAGCGCCTTCTCCTCACCAGCACCTCCCACCCCCTGAACTCTGGAAGGGACCTGTTCCCAGAGGTAAAGCCCAGGACAGGAAGGGGTGTCTTGACCAATGGCCCAACAGGGTCTAGCGGCAGGACTGGGTCGCTTAACTGGCTCCTCTCTAGTATCTTCCTGGCCCCACCCTCTGGACAGTCCCCTCTGGAGCTGGTCACCACCTCCACCCCCACCCATACCTGGGCATGGCACTGCCAGAATGGACTCTCCAACAGCTGGTGGCATACATCCTGGGCTTCAGCTCGCAGCTGGCCAGCATCCATACCTGCCTCGGTGCCTTTCAGGGGTCCCTCACAGCCCTGATCCACCTCCACTGCATCCAGACACCCAGGCTGGGAACAAATGGAGCCAGGCCAGGTAGCAGTGATGAGGGACATTGACTAGGAAAATGACCACTGCCCTCCTAGCCACTTTGAGGCCACATCATTGTTCCCACCATGATGTGGGCTGTGGAGGGCAGTGGGGACCAGCCCAAGGGGGAGGCAGGGGACTCAGGGTCACAGTCAACCGCAAGCAGGTGATTAGATGATGAACTAACCACCAAAGGTGATCAGTGATGAGGTTGGCCAAGGTGTCCCTTGACAGCCAGACTGAAGGCAGCACCTGACACTGAGCTTCCTGTGGGATACGAGGCCTACCTGCTCTCCCCCTGAGGGTCTCTCCCTGGGAGTCTGCTGTCCCCTTCAGCCAGGGGAGAGCAGCCAGGAGAAGCCCAGGATGGCAGTCTTACCTCAGAGCTAGGGAGCTTCCAGGAATTCCCAAAGGTGGCAGCAAGCATAGCCAGGCCCCCACCTGGCTCTGAAAAGTCATCTAAGGAAGGGTGAAGCAGATATGCTGGATGCTGGACTTGGGGTCCAGTCCCCTCTTCCTCCCTGACCAGCTACCAAGCACACCCTACCTACCCTCGGGCCGGCCATTGTAGAGCCCACAGAGGCCCTGCGTCTGTCCTGAGTGCTCATGGTCCACCGAGATGGACACCGAACTGGACCTGTCCAGCCGCACAACAACCCCCAGGCCCCCGGATAGCACCAGCCAGTCCCCCTGCCACTGCAGGCTCAGCCCTGGGAAGGGAAAGGGCGCCATTCAGCCTCCTGTAGCCATAGTCCCTGCTCACCACCACAGCAGGACTCCAACTGCCCAAGGAAGCAGCGGGGAAGGGAAAGAATTCTGACCATTCTAGAGAGCTCTGCACCTTTCCCATTGTAGACACTCTCTAGACTAAACTACAACACACACACACACACACACCTTACATGCACCCCCACAGTATACACATACACACTTCATACACCCCTGTGTACACAACACACATGTATACATAATACATAAACACAAAATACCACATACACACACCACACACACATTGCACGTACACAAACGCATACCATATATACACAATGCACCACACATGCATACACTTCACACAGTACACCAATATACACGCACATTACACATGTACACACACCAACATGCACATATGCTCATGCACACACTGGGCACTGGCGCGCGCGCACACACACACACACACACACACTTCACCGGCCTCATGCAGTCCCATTCAGAATGACACTCTCACGAGGGAGGTGGGGAAACTGAGGCTCAGGTAGATTAAGGCGAGGGACTTGCCCAGGGTCAAGCTCAGAGTGGGTGGGGAGTGGGAGGCACAGGGCCCCCATCCTCGGGGCTCTTCATTTCTAAAGGCCTCCCAATAACAATGTGGGACAGGCAACAGCCCCAATCCCCACTGACCCTCCACAGCAGACCCACAGGGTCCTCACCATGGAGCATCTGGGGCTCTCCATCAGGTACGAGCTGCCCCTTCACAGAAACATCTCTACCCTGGATCTGCACCTCCTCTGAGCCCATTATCACCAGGACCTGGGGAGATGCACAGTGAAATAGGGTCAGCAACTCTCCCCATCCCCCTACATCTAGCTCTCTCCTGGGGCCACCCCCATTTCCCTCCCTTACCAGCTGACAGTGCCCAGGTTGTGGACAGTGGTCCCTTGGCCTGAGGTGGACAGCCCAGGTAGAATCAGCAGCTCCTGCCAGCAGATAGGTGCAGTGGCCCAGGAAGTGGTAGTGGCGCCCATCAAAAGTACGGTAGTGGAAGCCTGACCAGGTGGCACAGGTGGCTGAGGGACGCTGGCGCTGGCTCCAGAGCTGACCCACAGCCCCCGGTAGGGGCTGCAAGAGGACTGCAGAGGAAGCATTGCCTGGACACGACACATCACATGTGAGCTGCTGAGTGCAGGGGTCAGAGGGCCATGGGTAAGAACATGCCCACAGAGCATGAAGCATGGGGATAAGGCATGGTTACTCTGGTGGGCAGGGGAGTAGGCAGGATCCCAGAGCTCAAGGCCTGGCATGGGGATGATGGCCAGGATGTGTCCTGTCTGTAGGCTGGGGTCTGCAGACCCACCTGGAAAGTGTTGGCTGGAACAGCTAAGGCAGAGCTGAGAGCCACTGTCCCACCAGCTGTGTCCCCAAGGTCTGGCACAGCACTCTTCCAGGTTTTCTGTTGAAGTATTAGCTGAGCCTCCCAGAGGCTGGCACTGCCACGTGGCAAAGCAGTGGCCCCCAGGGCTGTCTTCCATGAGGGCTTCAGCATATGGTGGAGAGAATGGGGCACACCCGGATAGTCAGCAGAATGGCCTGTAGCTCAGCCTGGTCAGTTCCCCTCCTCAGGGAGCCTGTCCCCTCCCCTGAAGACGTAAGTGAGGTTAGCTGCCCACAATCCCACAAGGTACATGTCACCCGCACTGGCTCAGGAGCTTACCATCCGTACACTGAGCGCCCCCCCAGCCTGGACAGCAAACCCTCACCGTCCGGTTCCATGTGGCAGGCCGAGTTTCTGGAGGTCTGCACCCACCAAGCAGGGGGGAATCAGGGAGAGATGTTAGTGTCTAGCCCAGCCCACCGTGGGGAAAGGCCTGGGACATTGGGACTAGTGAACTACTCTCTGAGGGATTTATCACATAATTTTCCTCCTCCTTTCTTCACTCGAAAAGTGAGAATGTCATTGGGGGCAGACAGAGAGAGCAGGCATTGGGACTCTCCCTGCTCCACCCACTGAGGTACCTCTCATCCACACACCCCAATCTTGCACTTTCTGCTGCCTTTCCCTGAGCCCACCCAGGGCCCACTTCCCAAATGCCTGCTTATGCCAGGTTCTCCCCATCCTCCCCCACTCTCAGGATTTCCGGCCGTCACTCCTTTCCTGCCTGGCAGACAGCCCAGGCTCTGACCCTCACTCACTTGTATATGCGACAGAGCCCAGGTGCTGGAGGCCCTGAGAGCCCCTCGTGGCCACTCCTGGGCAGGTCCAGCCGCCAGCCTAGGCGGGTATAGTGGTAGAGGCTGGCACAGGGCACCAGATCCTCCCTACGGGGGGTCACTTCCTCTTCCACATGGATCGTCTCCGTCTGCTCACACCATCGCCTGTCCATGGATAGGGAACTACAGCAGCTGCCACTGTCCCCTTTGTTACCAGGAAGCCCTGTCCTGTGACCCCACTCCTATAAGAGATAACTTACAGAAGAGGTCCCTGAAGTAAGCAAGAAGATAAGGTTGGAGAGAGAAGCACTAGGGAGGTCATTCTGGTGCCCAGGGTGTCCCCAGGCCTGGGGCTAGAGAGGATCTTAGCTCGAGGAGTCCCAGTGGACTGCTTACCCATTAGCCAGTGCCCATAGCATCCCAAAGAGGACAGCAAGGAGGAGCATGTTGCCCACTCCAGTCACCACCAGAGTCTTGTGAGGCCTGGGCTTGGGCAGTGCTGCTGCAGGGGAATAGAGAGGCCAGTGCTGGTCCCCCTACCCCACACTGCTGCCTACTGTGACCTGGAGGCCAATCTGTCCAAGGCCACAGAGAGAGCTAGGCTGTAGGCCTTTTGTACTGGGGAGGCTTTATTAGGGGCTTGCACCTCCAGGCACAGCTGCCCAGAACCTGGTTGGATCTGCCCTGACAATCCTCTCAGTGCCAGCTCCTCCTGGAAACAGCCCCTCCCCCCAGTGTGTATGATGGGGATCAAAGCCAGTTGCTTTGCGCCTCTGCTATTCCCACACTTTCAGAGGCTACCACAAATGAACATGGGCTATGTGCAAGCTACCCTCCCTTTCTGGGCCTGTTTCCTTACTAGTAAAAACTTCAGGGACTTCCCAGGGATGCACAGATGGGACTCAGGGACTCCATGAATTCTTTGAAACTGTATGTGTGCATAATCTTCCAAGGACAGTTTCATAATGTGTATTAGATGCTGGGGGGCGGGGGCATGGCACCATTGAAAGATCAAGAGTTACTGGCTCAGCGATTGGTTGGTCTACCTGCCCTCAAGCTGACTTGATCATGCTCTTTTCCTATCTCCTCTGTCCCCTTTCCTGCCAGGCACTCAGGATTTGAGGGCCAGGGAAACTGGATGACCATGTGCTTTCCTCTGTTGGGTCTGACTTCTTAATGAGATGATGATGTGTGGCTGATTTGGCCATCCGGTCTCCTTCTGTGAGGGTTTCCTAAGGTCCCTGGGGTTCTAAATACTAGGGTTTCCTAAGGTCCCTGGGGTTCTAAATACTAGGGTTTCCTAGGGTCCCTGGGTGGAGGACTGAGGGGAGCCAAGAAGGAGAATTTGGGTGGAAAGTGGGGTTGGGGCTGTAAGACAGCACCCCCAACCTGGGTGGGGGCTGAGCCGGATGGAGTAATCTCAGTGTCCGGTTGGGAGAGGGCAGCAGCAGGCTCCTCAGGGGAATCCTGGTTACATCCTGGTTACCAGCAGAACTCTGAGACACTCAGGCTGGAATATGGCCTGGACCTCAGACTGACATACCAGCTCCTAAGCCTGATGTCCCACTGAGCATCCTGAATAGTCATCCCACCTGGGGTGAACAAGAGCTAGGTTCAGCTTCCTTCTGGAACCTAGGGCCAAATAAAAAGGGTCATGTTGAGCTTCTTCCAGGGCTCACAGATAGCTAGGATTGGCATCCTAGACCCAGTAATCCTGGAAAAGAGCCAGGGTGTGTGGTGAGCCTACTGTTCTTCCAGCCTTTCTCAACGCTCACACATTACTCCTCCTTTTGTGACCTACATGTGGACACCCCTGCTCCAGCCCAGCACACACAGAGGTACACATTTGCTCCCAGGGCTACCTGCAGTCTAGTCAGCATCCATTATACAGAAGAGCCTTTCTAAGCTGAGTGGGAAGGACCACCTGCTCTTCCAGGTCCGGCTGTCCCTGGGTCTCTCACTATCACTATCCACAGACATTTTGGACACCCCTGCTGTGTGCTGTGCTACTGTGTCCTACAAGGTCTGCCTTGGGTCAATGTGCTCTGATTCCATAGGTGTCTCCATTCTTGTGATTGGGTGCTATAGCCAGGGGCACTTGTTCAGTCCACAAGGGCCATTCACCGTCCTCCCCTTCTCAGGTTTACTCCAGTTCTAGATTCCAGCAGTCATGAATAGGGCATCATTGGGCTTTGGAAGAAACACAAGTCACAGGCAGGAGGAAGGAAGCTGGAATCCAGGGGAGCAGGCAGAAAGATCGTGGAGAGGAGGTCTGCAATAACCAGTCCGCGTTTTAGCTTGAGGAGGACGGGATAGGGGCAGTTTAGGGAGTGGAGCCTCACCCGCTAGGCTGAGGAGAAACTGCAGGACTGGGGCGGGGTCAGCGGCCAGGCCCCGGGGCTCCGAGGCAGAGGACAGCCCTCCACACCTAAGGCCTGCAGGGCCCACCTAGTACAGACGGCCCTCCCCTCTCCGTCACCCCTCCCTGCCCCGCCCACGCAGTCACCGCCCAGCCTCACCCCCTGCAGCTCAGCGCCAGCCACCCCTCCTCCTAGGGGTCCTGGCTCAGAACCTCCTCCCCAATTTCTACTGGGGGGCGGCGGAGGCCCTCTCTCCTTGGGCCCCTTTCCACCGTTCTCGCAGGGGGTCTCAGTTCAAGCCTCGGGAATCTAGGTGGAGGGAAGGGGTCTGGGTGGATCCGGGTAGGATCGGGTGGAGAGCGGGACCGGCAGGAGTTTCTCAGATCCCCCCCCCCCCCCCCCCCCCCCCCCCCCCCCCCCCGCCCCACGGTCGGTCCGACACGTCTCTGGCAGGACCGCGGCGGGGCCACAAACCCGACCGGTACTCGCGATTTAAAGACCAGCGTACTCCTTCCCAGGCTCCCACTCCGAACACGCCCCCTCCTCTTCCCGGCAACTCCTCACCCCCTCCCGCGCTCCACCTTTCCCCGGCTCCTCCCTCCGAGGCTGCGAGCACCCTCCCTCGCAGCCCGAGTGCCCTACCTCCCCGGTCTCCTCTCCCTCCTCCCCTCCCTCCTCCCCTCCCTCCCCCCTTCCCCCCCTGTCCAGAGCTCCCACTTTCCGTCCTCTCCTGCGGGCGTCGGGCCTCAGGACCCTCACCTGCACACCTAACCCCGCGGTGCACGTCCCTCGCCCCACTCCCTGAGACCACGGTCCCCAACCTCCCTAGCCTGGTGCCTCGGGGCTCCGCTCCCGCTTCCTCGGTCTCTTCCCCCTTGAGGGCGCCGCTGCCCAGCTCCCTCTCCCTCGGCGTTTTTCCTTCCCCTCCCCGTGAAGTTTCGGGGCTGTCAGTCTGTCAGTCTTTCGGGCAGTCGGCACCCGGGCTGCAGGCAGCGGGCGCCATTGTGAGCAGAGCCGGCTCGGGCAGGAGGCCCGGGCGCCTGGGTCCCCGTAGCTGGCTGCAGCGCGGCGACCCGTCGGCCCGCCAGGTAAGGGCCGGGAGGCTCCCGGCGCCAGCGGCTCCGCCCGCCTCCCCTTCAGCGCACACTCACAGCCCGCTGCGTGCAGGTGACAGCCCCCGGGGAAGGGGCGCCGGGAGCGGGGCAGCGATGGGGGAGGGGCGCGGGTCGCCGGCGAAAAGGAGGGGACCGAGCCCGGGGGCGAGTCAGGAGGGGCGGCGGCGAGGGTCGCGGAGTGCAGGAAAGGGATCCGGGAACTGGAGAGAAGGGCGGGGGCCGGGTGGGAATCGGTGGGAAAGGGGCGGGAGGGTCCCCAGGGGAGGGAGTGGGGAGTCTCAGGAGAGCAGAGGGAGAGTGGGAGTGGGCCGAACGGGAGCGGAGGAAAACAGGGCGCCCGGGATCCGGCTCTTGGGGAGGGGCGGGAGAGCAGGGCGCTGACAGGTGAGCCCCGGAGCGGGGCAGCGGGTCGGGACCCGGAGTGACTCTGGAGGACAAACGGAGGAGGGGAGGTGGAGTGGGGTCTGCTCGGGAGGAAAACTTGGGGGGTGGTGAGAAGTCAGTGGGGAGCAGAAATAGGGACAGGACCACTGAGAGGGAGGTGTTGGGGAGAAGGGGGTTCGGAGGGGAGGTGGGGTGGGGAGGGGCAGGGCCAGGGAGAAGGTCGGGAGTGAGCTGGGTCAGTCCCGTAGCCCCAGCCTTGGGGCGCCAGGGGACGAGGGAGCTGGGGAGCGGACTGGAGGGGGAGGGGAAGAGCGGTTCTGGGGACCGGGAGGGGAGGGAAACGAAGCTGGAGCCTGCTGGGGAGGCAAGAGAGGCAAGAGTGGGGGAGGAGAGGGGGAAGGGAGGGGCGAGCAGGGTGGGGGAGACCAGCTGAGAGCTGGAGGGCGGGCGCTGGGGAGGAAGGAAAAGAGGAGGGGGGAGGAAGGGAGAGAGTGTGCAGCCGAGGAGGGGGATGGAGCGGGGGAGAGTCGGGCGGGCGGGGAAGGGCGGCCCAGAGCCCAGGGAGGGGGAGGGGAACGGAGCGCTGCCAGAGACTGCCCGGAGCGGAGGGTCAGGGAGGCGGTGGCAGCGTCAGGCCGACCGGAGGGGGCCGTGAGGGGTTGGCCCCGCCGGTGCGGGCAGGGGCGGAGCCGTAGGGGCGGGGCAGGGGGAGGGGCTCCAGGAGGCTACCCGATTTGGTGGGGAGAGAGGGCGGAAGGCAGAGGGAGCCGGGAGAGGGGAGGGACAGAGGGAAGGCTGCAGGGGGGGAGGGGGAGGGGAGCCTGCTGGGGGAGGGGGAGGAGCCCGCAGGGCCCAGAGCCGGGAAGGGGGTGCAAGGAGGGGTGTTCTGGCCTGGGGGTGTCCTAGCACAGAGCAGCCTCATGGGGAAGGGAGTGGTTTTGAAGTAGGGGCTTTTGGAGAAGCCAAGACCATTTCCTACCTTTAACAAGGACCCTTCTCTGATGGGGAGCCCCCACCTAGTCCTAAACTGACACTCCCTCCCCTGCCGGCTGGCTTCTGTTTCACCATCTCCTGCAGTGACAGCTGGAGGACCCAGGAAATGAAGTTTCCCACTCCCCACCCTGGTTTCCCACCCTCCACCCTCTCCCCAGAGAATGGTTCCTGCCAGTCCCCAGGCAAGGACACTGGGGTGTGCTTGGGGTGGGGCTGCCAATGAACTGGGGCTGGCTGGAGAGACTGCCAGGCAAGGGTGGGTAGGTGGGTGAACTGATTTCCAGAGCCAACCAGAGCTTGCAGAAATGGCTTCAAGCCTGTCTTCTTGGGCCCCCCATCTTTAAAGGTCTCTGCTCTTAAATTCATACTCCCTTATTTTCCTCACCTGTTTGGGGACATCACCTTTGGAGCTCCTGGGAAGAGCTAGGAGGGAGTGATTGGGCAGAGCTTCCTGACCAACCTTCTATATGGTGGCTGCTATTCTAGACCCAGGTGGAAACTGGCAGCAGGAACCTGACGGCAGTCTTTTCTCCTTAGGGTCTGTGACCTGATCTCCAGGAGGGGCTACTCCCTGTTGCCATGAGAGAGACTTTGGAGGCCCTCAGCTCTCTGGGTGAGAGAACTGAAGGCACTTGGGGGTGGGGTGGGATTAGGGGGCATCTACAAGGCATAGAGTAGAGTTCTTCCAGAGGCTGAGCCCTGGAGCCAGAGGCCCTAGGGGCCTGTAGGACAGCATCCTTTCAGGTCACCAGGTCTGTTTGAATGCCCAGAGGAGGGAAGTTGTGCTAAACTGCAAGTGTATATGGGGACTCACTCAGCACTGGGACTTAAACTTATTCTCTCTAAAGCTAGTCTGTTTCTTCCTTCTATCTTTGATTCATCTCAAAGGAGCTGAGATTGATACCTGGTCAGACTGCTGGGGAGCCTGGGCTATTGTCTCTTATCACTATTATTGGGAAGCCCTATCCTTGAGCAGGCTAGGAAGGGGAGGGCCCCACTTCTGATCATCAGTTCTGTACAAGATGGTTTACTTGCACCCATTCTTCTATTGCCTGTAATAGGATTCTCTGTGGGACAGCCAGAGATGGCCCCCCAAAGTGAGCCCAAGGACAGGTCTCATAATGTCCAGGGGCAGATGTCCTCCTCCAGTGAAGAGAGAACACTGGGTACATGCTCAGGTATGTAAATGGGGACCATGTAGGATGTTTCAGGAAGGAATTTTCCTTCCTTTCACCGCATATTGTTAAGCACCTACTATATGGTGAGTGCTATTCTAGACAATTTAGAATACCATCAGGACCAATAACCCCTACCTTCAAAGAGCTTAATCTTAGAGTGTTCAGAATCAACTAACAATAAATGTAAAAGCAAGAGAAATGATAAGCTACCTTAGAAGATAAATGCTGTGCAGGAGAGAATAAAGCACAGTGAAGGGGACCTTCAGTGAAGGGCTACAGGTAGGGATGAGGCCCTTCACTGAAGGTCCCCTTCACTGAGGGTGAAGAACAAGCCTCACTGGGAAGGAAAGATTGGAGCAAGATTTGAAAGAGGTTAAGGAGGTGGCTAAGGGAATATCAGGTAGCGGCAGCCAGGATGGAGTGCTAAGGCAGGAGCAGGCCTGGCTTCAACATTCTGATCCTTACCAATGATTTGCCTTGGACCTGGGGTCCCTCAGGGGTCTGGGAAGTACAGTCCTGCTGTTGGAAGCCTCAGGTAAGCCTCAGGTCAGGGGCCCTTCCTTGCTTTCACTACCTCACATACACATATTCCAGAAATTCCTCACTTATGGCTCCTGCAACCTGCCCACCCTTAGCAGCTGCCCTGCTTAAAGGAGCCTGAGGTTTCCTGGGGCAGCTGGGAATTCAGCCCCTGCAGGTATGATGGGAGACAGAGTCCTGTGGGTGGGGATGGGCTGGGGTTTCAGATGTCCCTGCTTCCTAGCTGCAGTGGGGACCTTCATCCATCTGTGATGCTTCTGGAGGCCTTGAGGTTTCCTCTTCTCTCCCAGGGCCTGAAGCCCCTGGTCCAGAGGAAGGAGCCCAGACCGAACAAGCTGAGGCTCCCAGCAGAGAAGGACAGGCATGTACTCCACAGAAGGCTGAGCCTGTGGGCTCCTGCTCAGGTGAGTCTTCCTGTTGCTCCATCCACCAAGAGGTCATGCAAGGGAATGGGGCCTCACAAGCCCCATTCCCTTGAGAGACAGCTACTCCAGGCCCTTCCAATCAAGAAGAGTTCAGACCCTGGACCCTTTCTGCTATAGAACTCCGGCACCTAAAAAGAATTACACCCTGTAGACTGTGGAACCGAAGAGGCTCATCACCGAAGAGAAATATACCTTGTTTCAAACCTTGCTAGAAGTCCTAACTTCCCCTCTTCATCTTCCCTGGTCTAATCTTAGGCTGTTGATCACCTGAATTACAGTTGCCATGAAGATAAAGGATGTGGATCAACTTTTCCACTGTCTCTCTCCTACATTCTCCTCTCCCCAAACCATCACTGATCTTGTTGGTACCAAGTTCTCCAAGACTATTATAGTAAACTCATCTCTCCCGTACCTAAACCTACCCATCACTGCTTTCTCCTGCTACTACCTCATCACCTCTTGCTTGGTTAACTGTTTTAGTCAGCTTTGTTTGCTGTTTGACTAAAGGATCAGAACAATTGCAGTGGATGAAAAGTTTATTTGGGGACTCACAGCTTCAGAGGTCTCAATTCACAGCAGCAGGTTCCATTCCTCAGGGCTCAAGATGAGGCAGAACATCATGGCAGAAGAGTTGGCAGAGGGAGACAGCTTACATGATGATCAGGAAACAAACTCCACTCTCCAGATACAAAATATATACCCTATAGCCCCGTCCCCAAGGAACCACTTCCTCCAGCCACACCCTACCTGCCTCCAGTTACCACTCAATTAATTCCATCAGGGACTAATTCACTGATTAGGTTAAGATATAACCCAGTCATTTCTCCTCCAGACCTTCTTGCATTGTCTCATATATGAGCTTTTGGGGGACATCACATCTAAATAATAACAGTGACATTTATCCAACAAAGATTTATCTAGTCCCTACTATGCACTGACTGTGCTGAGTGTGGTAGGAAGAGATAGGCCTAGAGGTATACAGAAATACTTACCCACTGAGCACTCTAGGATGGACTACCCCCTCTCCAGGACCTTGTGATCTGTTCATCTGTAAATAAGGATAACAATAACTTCATGGTTGTTGAGAGGTTTATAATGGTGTATGGCTAGTGTTTCATCTATAGTTGGCCCTCCATAAATGGTGGCAATGCTCATTTTTATTAGACTTAGTTATTATTAGACTTAAAATTAGAATACACTGTATCTACCCTTCCAAAGCTAACATGTAATTGAGATGGCATCAGTGTTAACCAAGATGAAAGATTAAAAGAACAATATAAGAGTTGCAAATAAGAAAAGAAGTGTCAGTGCTATAGAAGTTTAGGGTGAGAGATCCTTATTTTGACTGGATCTGTCAAAAAATGTTGCTTTGTAATGCATCTTGAGAGAGGCATAGACTTCAGCTCAGAAGCTGGCTGGGGTGCAGAATGGAGAGACAGTCTAGACTGAGAAAGGACTTTGAAGCAGAAAAGGTGACATGTGACTGGGGTTGAAGGAGAGCAGTGTGGTGGAAATGAAGCATTCTCACCTAAAAGAAGAAAGTTGGAGTAGATCTGGGTGAGCCTCAGATGCACCTACAACTGGCTAAATCCTGGGGGAAAAATGACCTATTGATGGTTCTTGAATAGAAGAGTGACACAATGAAAATGTGAGGCATATCACAGTATGATAAATAGACAGTTGTTTGGAAACAATAGATTAATGGAAGAAACTGGGAGTAGATGTACTTGTAGCAGTCCCTGTGTAATGTAACCAAGGCTTGGGCTGTGAAGGACTTTAAGGGCCAGAGAGGAATTCAGATCATTTGGTCCAATGGTTCTCCAGCAGAACTGGGGATCTTCTGGGGGCTTTAAAGAGAGAGAACAGATCCATGGGCCCTTCTCCTACAGATGCTTTTATGAGAGTTCCTCAGGAACTCAATCCTGCCTTTGGGCCAAGGCTCTCCCCAGGGCCCTCCCTGCTTCTGGAGAGGCTGACAACATTCACCAATTACCCAGGTCCTATAAACTTCAGCCTCCTCCTTGTCAACTGGGATTCCCCCCTTGGCTGAAGGGAGCAGCAGGGGGAGCATTTGAGATGAAGGAACTGACTTTTAGGGTGCCCTGGTACTCTGTGGCCAGACAAAGGTAGAGAGCAGGAGGTGTCAAGGCCCAAAGGTCTCCTTTTGGGAGAAGATTTACTGTTCTAATGTTAACGTCAACCAAGGATAGGTGTGGGAAGGTCAGGTGTTTGGCAACAAACCTGCAGAGCTGCAGCCGATTTTTGGGACACCCAGGGGAGCTACTCAACTGGAGACACGGTTCCAGAAAGGAGCTTGCTGGACAGCAAGACCTGGGGCAGCCACCCAGAGCCTGGGAGAAAAGTCACGGAAGGGGGCAGGTGTTCATCAGCATGGCAGGCTGCAGAGCAGGAGGAGAATGAGAAGAGTTTGGGATTTGGTCATTCCCGGGAACTTTTTGGGTAGAGTGGAGAGAACAGAAGCCAGATTGCTGGGCTCCTGGGAAGCAGTACTACTGGCGTTGAGCTTACTAGACAATTCTTGTTTTGACTATTCAGGAGACGAATGGATGATTCGGAAGGTGAAGGTGGAGGATGAGGAACAGGAGGCAGGAGAGGCAGTCGAATGGCCCCAGCATCTCTCGTTACTTCCCAGCCCTTTCCCAGCGCCTGAACTGGGACATCTGGCTGCTGCATACAAACTGGAGCCAGGGGCCACGGGGGCATTAGGCGGGATCGCGCTGTCCGGGTGGGCCCCGATCCCGGAGAAGCCATACGGTTGCGGGGAGTGCGAGCGGCGCTTCCGGGACCAGCTGACGTTGCGGCTGCACCAAAGGCTGCACCGGGGCGAGGGCCCCTGCGCCTGCCCGGACTGCGGCCGCAGCTTCACTCAGCGCGCCCACATGCTGCTGCATCAACGCAGCCACCGCGGGGAACGGCCTTTCCCGTGTTCCGAGTGCGACAAGCGCTTCAGCAAGAAGGCCCACCTGACCCGCCACCTGCGCACACACACGGGCGAGCGACCCTACCCGTGCGCGGAGTGCGGCAAGCGCTTCAGCCAAAAGATACACCTGGGTTCGCACCAGAAGACCCACACAGGCGAGCGGCCCTTCCCCTGCACTGAGTGTGAGAAGCGCTTTCGCAAGAAGACGCACTTGATCCGGCACCAGCGCATCCACACCGGCGAGAGGCCCTATCAGTGCACGCAGTGCGCACGCAGCTTCACGCACAAGCAGCACTTGGTGCGGCACCAAAGGGTGCACGAAGCAGCTAGTCGAGCCCAGCCCTCTCCCGACGCGCCTTCTTCGCCGCATTCCCCCGCCGAGTCCTCCACCCCGTCCCCTCCTGGACCGAAACCTTTCTCCTGCTCTGACTGTGGCCTGAGCTTCGGCTGGAAAAAGAACCTCGCCTCACACCAGCGTCTGCACCGCAGCGAAGGTCGCTCCTTTGGGTGCGACGATTGCGCACTGGGAGCCACCGTGGACCCTGCTGCCGCCGAACCCTTAGCCTGCGTGCCCCGTGGGCCAAGTTGTGGGCCAAGTTGCGGCCCTGCGTCGGGCACAGTGACGCCCCAGCGCACCCCCTCGGGCGAAAGGTCTTTCTTCTGCCCTGACTGCGGGCGCGGCTTCGCCCACGGACAGCACCTGGCGCGGCACCGGCGCGTGCACACGGGCGAACGGCCCTTCGCCTGCGCGCAGTGCGGTCGCCGCTTTGGCTCGCGGCCCAATCTTGTCGCCCACTCCAGGGCCCACAGCGGCGCCAGGCCTTTCGCCTGTGCTCAGTGTGGCCGCCGCTTCAGCCGCAAGTCGCACCTGGGCCGTCACCAGGCGGTGCACACAGGCAGTCGCCCCCACGCCTGCGCCATCTGCGCCCGCAGCTTCAGCTCCAAAACCAACCTGGTCCGCCACCAAGCGATCCACACCGGCTCCCGCCCTTTCTCCTGCCCTCAGTGTGGCAAGAGCTTCAGCCGTAAGACCCACCTGGTGCGGCACCAGCGCATCCACGGCGAAGTGGTGCACCAGGCCTCGGAGACCGACCTCTCCGCCCCAGCCTGGCCGGCTCCTACAGAGGTGGCACCGCCCCCGCTCTTCTTCTGAGCCGAGTTCTCACTAGGATCCTTCCTTTGCTCACAGATTCCAGAGAATTGTGCGCCAGAGGGCCTGGGCTGCTGCCGGAGGCCTGCCCTCCTTTGGCCACCGTCCTATCTTCAGTGTCTAGGGAGATGTCCGCAGAGCCTACCCAGCTTTGACGTTCATGACAAAGATAGTGCAGAGAGAACCCCTGCGGCTCATGTGGGAAAGCAGACGTTTCCTAAGCCAGGAATGGTCAAGAGCCGGCTGGGTGGAGAACCTCTACCCAGAGTGAAAGAATCTGTGTACTTCAAGTGGTATTAAAGTTCTAATCTGCAGTTCTGGGGCTGTTACCTGAGCTGGGGAAGGCAAGCCTGACTCCTCCATCCCCTCCCCACCTCCATGCACAGGAAAAGCCTCTTCCCTTTTTGTCACGGATGGTTGAATTTAGCCCGCTGCCGTTAATTGGCTTTTCCAGATCAAATGTTATATGCTACCCTGGTTCTTGCTTCTAGTTCAGAAATTTGGCAGAACGAGATCTTACAGCACATTCCATTCCCCACATGCCAGGAACTGAAGACTAGGGCTGAAGGGAAGGCAGAGAGGGGCCGCTTGCCCTTGGTCATACTTGGGGCCTCCCAACAGTAGCCTCACCTGTGGCCGGCCTGGGCAGTGAGGAAGTAGTGAATGAAGGCTGCATACTCTCCACCAGGTGCTCTCCTGGTGAGGGGCGCTTGCTCAGGAGCCTCCCCAACTGCATCTGCCCAGCCCAGGCAGCTGTGTGAGCTGGGGCTGGCTGGAGTGGAGGGGAAGGGCAAGGGAATGGGGCACTGGATTTAGGAATGAGTAGTCTTAGGTTTGACTGCTCCTCTGTGTCACAGGGGACTTGGAGCCCTGCGTTTATTCCTCTGGACCTTGGCTTTTTCATTAAAATGAGAATTGATATTGACAAGGGCTGAGACCCTTCCTGGTTCAATGTCACTAGTGCCAAAAAAAATAACCCTAGCAAACATTTAATGGGTGCTCATTGTGTTCCAAGAATGGCACTAGGCACCAGGAACAACGTGCAGCAACAGAGCAAGGACCCTGTCCTCACAGAGTTCACAGTCAATGTAAGTGCCAGGGTACACACAGAGGCTTTTGGAGTGCATAGTAAGGACATCTAAAGGTCTAGGAGAAGTCAAGGGAGGTTGGATGGGTGAGGGTGCTGCTGAAGTGAGGTGTGAAGAAGGCATGGGAAGCAGGAGGTGGATGGAGCCAGGTGCAGGTGGGAGAGGATAGTGTGTGGGAAGTCAAGCAAGGTCCAGCATGGCTGGAAAGGATGAGAGGCCAGAGAGGTGCCTGAGAGCTAGAACGGCCTTTAGTGCATGTGCAGGAGTCTAGAATCTATCCAGCAGAGTGGGGCACCACAGCAGGGTTTAGGCAGGGCAGGGATGTGGCCATGTTTACACGAAAGGTGTGGGGCTGAAGGGTGAGCCTGGTGGTCTGCACTTCAGTTGTCCACATGCCAGGTAGTGGTGACCTTGGACCATGATTTTGTCAGACGGGATAGAGAAGTGATGATTTCAGGAGATACTTAATAGGCAGATGGTACAAGACTTCTTGAGGAGGAGTGGGGACATTGGTGAGGTTGGCCTGATTTCTGCTTGAGGAACTTAGATGACAGTGACTTGCCCTCAAGAAGGGTTACGCAGGAGGAGGAGCAGCATGCTGGGTGACCAATCTTGCACCTGCTGAATTGGTGTGACCCATTAGAAATAGATCATACAGGCGCTGAGGGTAGGAGAGGGCTGGAATGGAGACAGGTGGGCCTGAGAACCATCCATGTGTTTTGAAAATTGTGGGGGTATGGGTGAGCTCCTCAAAGAATTCAGTGTGAAGTGAGAAAAGAGGAGGCCAGAACCCTTTGGAACATCAGAATTAGGGGATGACATTGAGAGAATCCTATAAAGAAGATTGGGAACTTGGAGGGTGTCAGAGAATAGACAGGAAGACCCTGAGAGGGGACAACAACGGAGCCAAGGAAAGAGCGTCAGGATGCAGGAAGCAGGACAACTGTGGAGGGGTCACAGGAGTTAGAACATCTGATTCCTGGGATTCACGTCCAGGTGATCATTGGCAGAAGGTGAGAACAGCATCGGTGGCTGGGGCAAACTCAGAATGCAGTGGCAGGTCACAAAAGCCAAGTCCAAGAGCAGGTGGAGGAGGATGGGACCTGGACACAGATGAGGGCTGGATGCTAGATAGGAAGCCTCTTTTGCTGGAAGGCAGGCAGGGGGCGGGGCATGAATGCAGGTCCAACTATCCTGGCACAAACTATTTACTTTAGAATCACATATCAGTATGTCACAGTGCTCTGAGAAGCAAAGCGCAAATTTGCTATTTTCATACAGAAAAGAATTTTTTTTTTTATTAATTAGCTGCAGTCACGAATGAGTAGGTGACTCCTGGTTAATGTAGGGGTGGCCATAAAAAAGCACCCCCAGAGTATTTTAAATATCTGGAAATTTCACATAAAAATCTGAGCTTCTAGCTCCTCTTGTGAAAATTAGAAGATTTGGCAGTAGAAGCCGGTCTCCTTGGACTGAGGGATGGGAGTCTCGCCACTCCTAAAGCCTGGCCTGGCTTTTGTCTCTGAAACTGCCTACCTGTCTTTTTAGGCAGTGACTTGTGATTCCGCTGAAAAGTAATCTCACAGACTTTCCAATTCAAACACATGAAAACAACATTTGCGTTGGTTATACTAATGCCTTTCCTTCTCTAAACATTCTGGAATTCTTGAGTAAGAACAGCTTTGAGATCCTGCGTATTTGGTGAGACCTACCACGTGCCAGATATTTCCAGGATTTTTCCCTCTCTCAAAGATTCTCTATAAGGCATATCTTTGTCCTTTGAACTTGTTTACAAATAGTCCATATGCTTAGTGTCAAGCCTGGTGGGGACCCAAACAGAAGATGTGTGCTCAAAAAATGTGCCCTGTCTGCAGTGAAGGGCTGAGGTTCCTGTCTAGACGCCATCGATGGTGGTCTCATTGGAATCAGCACGTATCCCATGCCACCCTAGGTATGAGCCATCCCAGGTCCAACTATCCCGGCACAAACTATTTACTTTAGAATCACATATCAGTATGTCACAGTGCTCTGAGAAGCAAAGCGCAAATTTGCTATTTTCATACAGAAAAGAATTTTTTTTATTAATTAGCTGCAGTTTATTTACTTTTCCCTAATATTGTCCCCCCCCCAAAAAAAAGTAGGTAATGAGTATAGAGTGGCCATTGTGTGCCCAGTATGTACTAGGCCCACAATGGCCACTCTAAACCACAGACACCTATCTGTAAGAACTTTCCTTCTGGTGGAGATGAGACGTCTATGTCCATGACTGAACATAAGTGCTTTCCAAGGACTCTGAACACCCGAGGGAGCAGACAGACCTTGAGGAGGAGATGGGTAAAATGTGGAACAGCATAGCTTGAGTTTGGATTAGTGCACAGCAAAGGAAGGGAGAGAGCAAGCTCTGCCTGGTGGTCCTGGTAGCTGATGGTGACCTCCACATTCCTGTCTCCCCTAACAGGTTAGAAAACTTTGTTCCATCTCTCGAATGTGAGGGAGATTACCAAATTCACTCACCCAATGTAGACATCCAACAAGTTCCCCTGGATTATAATAGCCACTACAGATAAGAAGCACGGGGGGGGGGGGGGGGGGTTGGCTGACCCCACTAGGCTTCAACCTAGTGATGCCTAAGTCTTTATCCATGACTTAGTTTTTTATCAGGATCTTCAGTTCTCTGCATCCCAAAGACACAAATGCATGTAGTCCACTTCCTGTTGTTACAATGCAATATCTGAGACTGGGTAATTTAAAAAGGAAAGACATTTATTTTGGCTCCTGGGAACCCAACATCAGTTGGTCACACTGGTGAGGGCCCCATGCTGCTTCATAACCTGACAGAAGCCAGAAGGGCAAGTGGATGTTTGTGAAAAGCTCCAAACACCAGAGGCAACCTTGTTCTGTAATGACTGTTTTCACAGTGACTGAAACCAGTCCTACAAGATAGGGAACTCTCTACCGAGAGGAGCATCAACCAGTGAGAAAGGCATTGATCTCTCTAAAAGACCTAATCGCTCCCTGAAGGCACCGCCTCCCAGCACTACAGCAGTAATCATGTTTGGGAGCAGACAAACCATATTCACATCATAGCACACACTGCCACCCATCTCAGAGGGGTGAGCTGGGCGTCATCTATCTCTTTGCTATTAGTTTCCAGAATTTGCATGGCCATAGACTCAGGTGCTCTTTATATTTGATAGCCAGGGACTCACTCGTGTCCAGTGGACACATTATCTCTTCTGTGTCCTTTCTCTGGGTCCCTCCCTTCTTTCAACCCACACTAGTCTTCTAACCTCCTTCTGATTTAGATATGCAAGATGTGAGGAATCTGAAATGTAACTCAGCCCATAGTGTTCTGCTGGCTGTCTTGATGGGCAGAGGTGGGAAACAACAGAAGACAGCACGGCCCTCCTATGTGGGAGGTTAGGAGCCCAGAGACTGGAGCAGAGTTCTAGTTAACAGAGAGTTCTACTTAATATGTCTCTTGCCTGTTTGGGATTTTCAGCTCATCCCTAGGCTCATCAGGCTTCTTAGCACATAGGCACCAATTAACAGGCACCCAAAGTATCCATAAACTTAGCTCCCCAAGTTGCTGCTGTCTTTTCAATTTGAGGAGGAGGGGAAGTGGTCAGTGAACGAGCCAGCCTGTGTGTTTTCAATAAACCACACGGGCCATGGATTGCATTGTGTTGGAAAGATGCCCGGAATGCTGCTTCCCATCTATGTGACCCCATGTCTGGGGAACTAATCGGTAATTGAGAGGGTGTTTGGCAGGGGTGGAGAGGGTGTTTGGCAGGGGTGGAGAGGGTGTTTGGCAGGGGTGGAGGTGGAGCAAAGTGAAGTGAGAAGACTTTGGCAATACTCTGTCCAGACTCTAGTGAAATAAACCTGTCACGTGATTCATAGGACTCAAGAATCTTCCTGGGTGACCCAATCTCCCACATCTCCTCTCTCTTTGTCTGCAGGGTTCAACGTCAAGAGGAGACATCTGCAAATCTAAGTCAGAAAGATTCCAGGTGTGTCCAACTTGACTGACTCAGGCGGGCAGGAAACTCTGGCGTTTTAATCTGCCACTCATAAAGATTGATTGAGCTTTCAACTCTACCCAGCCCTATGCAAATGTTGTAGAGAACAAAACAAAAGCTCATGTCCCCTGGAGCTGATTGTTTAGATGTATGACACACTTGTGGCTCACTTATGGGCCCTGCATGCCAGGTGCTGTGGGAGACTGAAGTAAGAGCCATAGTCTCTGACTGGTAAACCCAGGCTGCAGCTGGAGGAGAAGGCTGGGTTTCATGATCCACCTAGACCATCATGTGTAGTGAGCTGGGTCTATGTATTGCCTCCTATTCTTCAGGATAGGGTAGGGTGTGGGCTGGAGTGGACAGGGGTGGTTTATGGAGGGGGGAGGGGTCCTGGGGGAATCTTGAAGGGTGCTAGGACTGGAACAGACAAGGAGGAGGCACAGGAACCCAGGATCAACACAAGACCACGTGCAAGGGGTTCAGGCCACAAGAGGTCGGCTGTTTGTAATTGTAGGTTAGGGAGAAGAAGGGGTTATCTTGCTTAGTGTCAGTGCAGAGAAAACCTTCCTCTGCAGGACTGATAAATATTGGAGGTGATAAGTATGATGATTACTCAGTTCTTCACACATTGTGTGTGTGTGCACCAAAACATCACACCCCATCAGTGTGTACAGTGATTAGCATCAGTTTAAAAAACCGAAACTCTGTACCCATTAAATAGCAGCTCTTCATTCTCCCCTTCGTGCTGCCTTTGGCAAACAGCATTCTATTTCCTGTCTATGAATTTGACCAGTCTAGGTATCTCATATAGGTGGGATCACATAATACTTGTTTGGATTATTTTACTTAGTGTAAAGTCTTCAAGTTCCATCCATGTTGTAGCATGTATCAGAATTTCCTTCTTTTATTTATTTATTTATTTAGTGCTGGTGATCAAACCCAATTTCCTTTCTTTTTAAGGCTGAGTAATATTCCAGTGTACATCTGTAATACTGTTTGTTTACTGATTCATCTGTCAATGGACACTGGGTTGTTTCCAACTAAAGGCTGTTGTGAATAATGCTGCTGTGAACAGGAGTCCTTATTTTCAGCTTTTTTGAGAATAAATCCAGAAGTGAAATTACTACATCACATGGTAATGCCGTTTTTAATTTTTTGAGGAGCTGCCACACTGTTTTCCACAGTGGCCATACCATTTTACAGCAGTGCTCAAGTGTTCCAATTATGTAGTCCCCTACCACGTTATCTATGGCTTCACTTTCTGTGGTTTCAGTTATCTGAAGTTTCAGCTACCTGTGATCAATCACAGATTGAAAATAGTAAGTGAAAAATTCCAGTAATAAAGAGGTAATAAGTTTTAAACTGTGCAGTGTTCTTCGTATGTGATTAAATCCCACACCTCCCTTCCCACCCTTTCCATGATGTGAATCATTCCTTTGTCCAGTGTATCCACATTATATATGCTACCCACCCGTTAGCCATTTGGTAGCCATCTCCATCACTGAATCAACTGTGGTGGTATTATAGTGCTTGTGTTCAAGTGAGCCTTATGTAATAATGGACATGAAGTACAAGACTAGGGATTCTGGCAATTCGGATATGCCCCAAAGAGGCTATAAAATACTTCCTTTTCATATTATCACAAGAAGGGTCAATATAATACAGTAAGATAATAAAAGAGAGACCACATTCATATAACTTTTATGACAGTATATTATTATAATTCTACTATTTTATTGCTTGTTATTGTTGTTAATCTCTTACTGTGCCAAATTTACAAATCGAACTTTACAATGGATATGTACATATTGAGAAAAACATAGTATACATAAGGTTCAGCACTATCCATGGCTCCAGGAACCCACTGGAGGTCTTCGAACATACCCCTGAGGACAGGGGGACCACTACATCCTGGCCAACACTTGCCATTTCTGACTTTGATAGTGGCCATCCTACGGATGTGAGGTGGCATCCCATGGAAGTTTTGATTGGCATTTCCCTAGAGTGGGGACTTTTCAACACCAGACTCTACTGTCCCCTGGCGGAGAGGAGCCTCACAGAGCACTCACAGACTCGTGGGTGGGTCCAGTGGGTCAGAGTGTGACAGGAGTGTAAAAAAGGGTCATGCGACGCAGAGCAAAAAGCAATGAATGATGCCTGGTGGGTCAGGAGGCGTCTCTGAGGAGACAGTTGACTTGCCAGGATTGCAGGCTTCTTGGGACTGGGTATCCAGCCAGCCAGGCCACCTGGTCCCACTAACCTGCAGCATGCAGGTGTCTGTCTCCTGGGAGAAGAGAGAGGGTTCCTTCCCCCACACCAGGACCACAAGTAACCAGTGGGGGGCCGGGGTGGAAGAGACCTGAGAAAAAGCCACTGCAGGTGGGCTGAGGCGCTCACCTCTAGGAGTGATTGTCAATGTCAGAGACACCCCAGGGCACAGGCGCTGTCTGTGTCAAGGCTTGGACGTCAGCCACTGTTTCAAACATTTAGAATTGCCAGGCAGGGGGAAATGTATGATGTGACATCCTGAACAGAGGCATTGGGCAAAGGTGACTGGTGTCCTGGCAGATGATGTTGGGGGGACACCAGGCAGGGCAGACAGGCCAGGCTAAGAGGAGCGAGGAGGACATGGAAGGAAGAAGGTGGCGAATCTCGGGTTGTATTCATGGAATGTGTGGGTGGGAACCTGGGAAGAGTCCCCATGTGTTACGGATAGGGGACACTACCCAACCTGGGCAAAACACCAAGCTTCAGTGTCTGAGAGTTGCTGGAAGTCTCCTGCCCCTCTGCTCTCTGCTATCTGCCCCGCGCACAGGGTGGCTGTGCCTGGCAGCACTGCGTGCACCTTCTGGGGTCCCTTACCAAGTGTCACAAGGCAGGTGCTCAACATGACAGGGGTCTGTTTGTCCTCTCACGGCAGGGGAGGCCAGGTCTGTAATTGTGGTGGGCAGGACCACACACGCTCCCCCTGCAGGCTCTAGGGGGACCTGTCCCTCTCCTTTCCCCATCTCTCCTTCCCCTGCAGGCACCTCACTGCCGCGTCTGCTGACCTCACCTGACACTCCGTGTCTCTTTTCCTCTTATAAGGACACTGGTCATAGTGAGTGAGGGCCTTCCTAACAACCTTATCTCAACTTGATCGTGTCTGCAGCGGCCCTCTTTCCAAATAGGGTCCCACTCACAGGTGGGGGTAGAGTTGGGACTTCGCCACATCTCTTTGGGGGATGCAGTTCCACCCATATCAGGGACCTTGAGTGAGCTCTGGAACTTGAGTGGAGGCTGCAGGAGGAGGGGCTGAAATGCTCCTGTGTCTGGAGGGCTGGGGCTGGGCCAGCTCAGCACCCTCAGAGGAACCAGCAGGAGCTCTCGCACCTGACCCTGCTGTGCCAGAAGAGTTGGCTTTGGAGATGCAGAGTCCCATTCCAACAACCCGGAAGAGGACAAGCATTTTGCTTTGCTCTATTTGTGTTCCTTTATTCTACAAGTGATCTTAAGACTTACGTTTTCTTCTCGATAGTGAGATAGCCTGGACACGACAGTAACCGCTGGACCTCTCAGGAGACAGACTGAAAACTGTGTGTGCGTGCTAGGGTCTCTGTGATGGACATGGAGGGAGGAGGGAGACAGCCCCATGGGGTGAGGTTGCCTCTGAGGTAAGAGGGTTGGAGGGGAGCTGGGGGGCGGTGGGAGGTGGGCTGGTGGGTGGGCTCTGCACCGTGTCTGGAGGAAGAGGGAGGGGCCTGCAGAGGTGGGCGGGGTGGGGGCGGGCCCTGCAGACACCTGGGCCTCTCATAGGGAAAGTTTCCTTCTGCCCCAAGGACTCAGGATCCTTCCCTAAAGTTAGGATGAATTTCAAGGCCTCAGGCTCCCTCTACTCCCACAGGAAGACTTAAACTGCTCCTCCTCGCCCATTGATTCTTGAAATTTCTGTAATCAGAGACAATTGTTCCATTTCAGTCAGGGGAATAAAAAGTCCTCAGGGGAGGAGCGTGGATGCCCAGGACTTGCCGTCTGCGGTGCTCTTTGGGACGGTGGACTGGAAGAGGCCGCGTGGTGCCTGACCAGGACTGAGGGTAGAGAAGCTGCCTGGGGCAGCAGGAGGAGGAAGAGCCCCAAGCCTGTGTTGACAGAGGGCTGCAGGACACAGATTCATACAACTGCCCTGACAGGGACAGAGCCCTCAGGCATGGGATTAGGTCAGCCTCGGGGCAGGGACATTCTAGTCAATGGAGGGACTTTGATTTATGTAATGGGCTTATGTAATGTCATTATGTAACATCATTAGGGGCATCGCAAATTGGATTCTATTTCTGGCTCTGCAGAAGCCAGAAGGGGGTTCTCCTCCAGTCCCACAGAACAGAGCTCCCTGGGGCTCAGAGCCCCTTGGTCCTGCAGGAATTTCTCCCCAGGGTCTCACTGGAGGGCTTTCAGGAGACCCTCCAGGTGTCACCCCTGTGCCCCTCGGGGTCTTCCCACCTGGGCTGGATTTGGGGTGGGTGAGGCTCTCCCCAGAGGGGGCTGTGACCTCCCTAGGTCCTCTCCAGAACAGTGGGCTCACTTCCTACCCTGTCTGGCTTTTTAGATGCTGCTCCCCACCTGAATGGGCCCTTCCAGCCCTGTCACCCGTGGCAGGCTCTGTGGTGAGAGGACCAGGATTTTTTCTTTCTTTTTTTTGTACTGGGGATTGAACCCAGGGGTGCTTTACCACTGAGCGACATGGCCAGCCTTTTTTACCTTTCAGAGTCTCATTTAGTTGCTGAGGCTGTCCTGGTACTTGGGCTCCCCCTGCCTCAGCTTCCCAAGTTGCTGGGATCACAGGTGTCCAGCACTGTGCCTGTGAGTCCTGGGAATTTTCTAGGTCAGGAGTTTATAAACTTTCATGGACCATCAGACACTTTTAAAATTATTAACCTGTATCATTGTACGAATCAGTGGGGTTCAGTGTGACGTTTCCACATGTGTACAGCACATACTGGTCAAATCCACCCTTCTCACCCCCGCACCCTTCCCAACCTGGATCAATGACTAGTTTACCTTCAGGTCCACTTTTCCAACTTCTGTATATGAGAAAGAACATGCAGGTCTTGCCTTTCTGCATCTGGCTTACTTCACTTAACATCATGTCCTTCAGTTCCACCCATTTTGCTGTCAATGACAGGAGAATAATCTTCTTTATGGCCAAATAATATTCCACTGTGTTTATATACTACCCTTTACCCATTTATCTGTTGACAGGCACCTTGGCTGTTGTGAATAGGGCTGCAATAAACATGGACACTCCTTTAAGAATAATATCTCATTTTGGAGAGTATGGGTCCTGCCCTTAAACCCAAGGGAGAGTACGGGGCCTGCCCTTAAACCCATGCATGGGACGTGAAAGTCCCTCTAGCTGGATAGAGAACCCCTGCTCTCATCCCACACATATGACAACTGAAGGCTGGAGAAGGTGAGAGGGTGCCATGGGGCAGAGTGGGCAGGGAGGAGGATCAATTCCATGGTGTTGCAGGACAGCCCTTGCTAGCAGCTTTCTGTGTTTTCCTGTGACTGAGTCTGGGTTCCGGAAACACCTCCAGGTCTGCATCCCCTTCCTGTTCAGGGGCAGGGGAGAATGGAGTCTAAACCCCACCGCTGGCTTGACCCAAGGGCCTGGGACCAGATCAGGACTCATAATAGCCTAAAGCAGCTTTCCACCATCAGCCCCCAAACCAGGCCCAAGCAACCCACCTGCTGGGCTGGGATGGTGTGCAGGACTGCCCACCTGGGCTGGAGGCGGAAGCGCTCCCCTGCACTCTGCTGGCGGGCTCTCGAGTTAGAGCAGTCTGTGGACCATCCTTTCCACCTCGCAGTGGCGTGGCACAGCCCGAGGCCCAGGCCTCCCCTGCTGTGTGCGGCTTCATTTTAGGAAGGAAGCAAAGCAGAGGCCGTGGGCCCCTCACCCCCGTCTCTACTGCCAGTCAAGGTCTTGGCTTCTCCTCAGCCCTGAGTGGCAGCAGCCTCCTGGGGGGCAGTGCCAGCTGCCACCAGGAGGGTTGCAGAAAGCTTTCCAGGGCTCTGTGGGTAGTGTCCAAAGGGTGATGCTGCTGAGAGGGGGCAGGGAGAGTTCCAGGAACATGAATCATCTATTTTAAATCAAGTAGGTGCCTAGGCATGGATGACCCCCTTCAACTACTGGCGGGAAAATCTCGGACCTACCTGATACACTACAGGGATCCAGCACCTTGTGCCAGTGTAACTGGTTGGTTGATTAATACACTTGGCTGTGGCAAGCAGGAGGCGACTTTAGGTTTTTTGCCCATCATCATTTAAAACTCATTCTGCAGCTCTGTCTTTCCTACCACACCAGTTCTCGGTTGTGCAACCATCAGTTTTAATCTGAGTGACTTAAACAACAAGCCTTTCTTTGGTTCTCTGGGTTTGCAGTGGGGGCCAGGCTCGGCTGATAGCCTTTTTGCCTGGGTCCTTCATTGCAGTTGCAGTAATCTTTAGCTTTTGTGGCTTGACTAGACCCGAGTGGCCGAGATGGCCCCACTCTGATTCCTGGTGGCTGGAGGTAGCCCTGGGCTGGGCCCCTCTCTCTCCCTCAGGGAGGCTGGCCTGGGCACCTCAACATGACAGCTCCCTATTCCAAGAGGGCTCGAGAGTCCTTGGCTCCAGATCTTACACATCGACATTTCTGCCATCTTCTTTCCATCAAATCTAGTCACACGCCCCACCTAGGTTCAAGAGGTGGGAAGAGAGTCTTCGATGATCAAGTAGTGAGCGTCCAGGGGAGGGGGAGTCTTGGCCATCTTTGTCAACAATCTCCTGCTCCCACTCTGGACTGCGTGTTAGGTGGACCCTAAACTTTGTGCTTGAACAGTCTCCTTTTCAGTGACCACAAAGTCCAGCCTGATCTAAACCAAAACTTTAATGCCTCGTCTGCTTGGAAGCTTCTCCCCGGTCCCACTGGGCTGATCTCTACATGGTGCTGACTGATGGGAAAGAGGTCCAGGTCTCCACAGTGTCTATTTGTTTTTTGCTCCTACTCCTCACGCCTGGGCCCCAGTGAACACCCCAAGGATGGGGTGAGGGGAAGGAGAAGAAAACCTCTTTCAACCCATGCTGTCATCTGGCACAGAGATACTCTGTGTGGTGGGAGCTGTTGGAATATTGACTCTTTCTCTCACGAGGTGCTTTTCTGAGTCCTTCTAAGGCTCTTTCTCCCTGTGTGGATCCGTGTGAGGCTTCACTGTATCCCAGTGAGGGCAACACACAGTCTGGATAACCCCCCTTCAGCTACTCGGCAGGTGTACCCCAAACAACTGCTTTATTTTGTATTACTGTAACAGAATACCTGAGACTGGGTAATCGACAATAAGCAGAAATGTCTTTGATCATGGTTCTGGAGGCTGGGAATCCAAGATTGCGGCATTGATGAGGGTTTTCCTGCTGTGCCATCCTGTGCTGACGGAAGGCAGAAGGGCAGGGGAGTACGCAGAGGGAGAGAGAGAAGGGGCCCAGTTTGCTTTTATAACAAACCTGAGCTTGCAATAATAATCCAACCCACAAAAATGACCTTGATCCACCCATAAGGACAGACCCTCCTATCTGATCACCTCCCTCAGGTGGCACCCTGCACTGGGGGTTCAGTTTGTAATTTGTGTCTCATGGGCAGGCTGTTTTCTGACCCAGCTTCTCAGGGTACATCTGTGGATTCCTCCTCTGTGGACCGGCTCTCCTGAGTCTTAAAAAATTCACACAGCGCGGTGACAGTGGCCCCCACAGCTTCCACACTGGGTACTGGTATAGTCATTCCACAACTGATTGATTTCCTCAGTTCAGATTCCCAGAAGAGAATACCTGATTGGCTAAGAAAGGTCGAGTTTATCCCTAGTTTTCTCAGCTATGATCCGGGGATGGGGTCACATAGTTTTACCTTGGATGGCATCTCCCTCACCCCATCCCCCATTTATAGGAGAAACAGGTGGTCATTGGCCCTCAGGCTGGTCAGACAGACTCAAATATCTACTCCGGGGCGGTACAGCCAGACCCTATCTTATATGAACAGCTCTCCTATTGAACATTCTAGAGGACAACCCGATTCATTAGTTACGGAGGAACTGGTGGCCCTTTAGAAGGTTGCTTCAGCAGAGGGGTGGGGGCAAGCTTACAGTGCACGTGTTTGAAGGGTTAATTGAAGCGAGGAAGTGGAGGCAAGATGTGTAGACTATTTGGAGTAGAAAACTATTTTTTAAAAATCATTATTCTGGAAAAAGGGCCTCTTTTTTTCTTCCTGCTTCACTAATGTGGCTACGACAGAGCTGCCATGCTCCTGAGTGGTCCTGTCCCTGGCACCTGCTGAATGGTCCAGCAGGGGGAACCCAAACCTAGCTGGCTCCACTAGACCCTTCCCCAGGATTTAGAACTTTGGACCAGAGAATATGTGAGTCTTGGGTAGCAGAAAACATAAAAGTAAACCATGGAAGCTTTCATAGGCCATATTTATTTTATGCACGAGGTTGGTTTTCAGTGAGGGGCACGGAGCTGACCTCAGAGAAGCAGGATGAGAGATGGAGGATCTTGGTATCAGATGAACCATAGATTCTTGATATTCCTGAGGCCAAATTGCATCTCCATCTGTCTTTGCGAACCGTGGAAATGCACCCCGGATTCCCCTCCAAACCCAAGCCATTCATCTGTGAGGAAAACAGTGAACTACTGATCTTCAGTCCTCTCTGTCCTCAGAATTCACCTCAGCTCATCATCCCAGCCCATGGTCCTTCTGGGAAGTCCCCCATCAATGACTGAGCACGACAGAGTGCGAGGGTGGCTATTTCTACCCAGAACAGGACTTTCCTGATTGGCTGTCTCTGCTCCAGAGCTCCCAGTTGGGCTGCTGAGATTGTATGTTGAGGTTCGAGCCTCCACCTGCCAGGTCCTGCTCCCCCACCCCAGCTTTCCCATCAGAGGGGTCCCAGGCACATCAGGCTTGAGACAGCGCCCCCCACTTCTTAAAAATCTCTCACAGGAACCACCTGATAAAACTCTGACCGCCTAATTCTGCCCTGCTCCCTAAAGCAAGCCGTCCCAAGGAATTCATTGAGTTAATGCCCTTTCATCTTTGTCCTGGCTACCTGAGTAAACTTCTGTGATGGTTGATCTTAGGTGCTAACCTGCCTGGTCTCAGGGATGCTCAGATAGCCAGCAAGTGTTACTTGGGGTGTGCAGTGGGGTTGCTAGGAGAGATTGGCATTGGAATCAGTAGACTGAGTAGAGGTCTCTACCTCACCCATGTGGGCAGGCATCATCCGATCCACGGAGGGCTGAAGAGAACACAAAGGCGGAGGACTGGGGAATTTGCTCTTTATTCTTTTTTAAATATTTACTTATTTTTAGTTGTAGTTGCACACAATACCTTTGTTTTATTTGTATATTTTTCTGTGGGTGCTGAGGATCGAACCCAGGGCCTTACACACACTAGGCGAGCACTCTACCGCTGAGCCACAGCCCCAGACGTGCTCTTGTTCTTGAGATGGGACATCATCTTCTCCTGCCTTCAAACATTAGTGCTGTTGGCTGTCAGGCTCAGACTCTGGGATTTATGCCAGAGCTGCCCACCACTCCCTGCTGTTCTCAGTATGTGACCTCAGACTGGGACCATCAGCTCTGCTGGTCCTTTAGACTCAGACTGAGTCTCAGCACCAGCCCTCCTGGGTCTCCAGCTTACAGATGGCGGATCTGAGGCTCCTTGGCCTCCAGAACTGCATGAGTCAATCCCCATAATTATTTCCCTATCATCTATCTATCATCCTCCCACCCATCCATCCATCCATCCCTCATCCTCCTATCCATCCATTCTATTGCTTCTCTTTCCCCTGGTACCTGTCTAACATAGCTCCATTCTCTGCCACGGAGGTAGTATTAGAAACATGAATTAAGCCCCCAGCTCTTTGCTCAGAACTCCTTCACCTCCTAGAACCTACTAGTCCTCTCCTACCCCCAGAGGATCCAACTGGCCTGGTTCCCCACTGAACAAGTCACTCTCCTGGACCCTGGCTCGTCCCTGTGGGTCAGAAGAGGCTGGAGCCCAGAGCTCTACCCATCTGTGGTGGCTGTAACTGTGGCCTGAGACTCCATTTTCGTGATTTTCATTGGAGGAAAAAGCACAGATTCATGATGAAAACCAGCCCCTCCTGGCCACTGATTCCCAGAGGACAAGGCTGCCCTGTCTTTGTTCAAAATGCTGCAAGTGAGAGAGCAACAGAGATGCACAAGAGCCCCTGCTCAACAGGATTCCTGTGAGGTGCAGGCCTCACCCTGGAAGTCCCCAGCTGCTGTCAGTCACTCACCACGCCACCTTGCCAACACCCACGTGGTCTCCTTTTTGGTGTTGCCCATTGGCTGAGCCTCACCTCATTCCTCACCACTAGAAGAAAAGAAATTGGCAGCCGCAGGCCCGACAAGTTTTTCCTCCAAATTCACTCTCCATAATAAATGTTCCCCATCAAACCAGGATGATGCTACAGAGGAAGAAGTGGCGACTGAGACCCCAGGGCCAAAGGCTGCGGGGAGGCTGCTCTGCCTGGATCACCGGAGACGTTTCCACGCAAATGGGGCGAAGCTCGCTGGAGGCACACAGGCTTCCCTTGGACCCGGAAAGATGGGTTCTGATGGGCTGGGCTCCAACAGCATCGAGCAAGAGGTGGAGGAGAAGGACAGGCTCCCTGGATTGCAGCCTGTTTAAAGTCATGTGCCCTTGCAGGACTGTGTCCAAGAGGACTCCCTTCATCCTGCATGGATATGACTCAATTTCCCCTCGATATTTTCTCCTGGTGGAAGGTGTCTTCACTATATGCTCAAGGACAGGGAGACTCGGGGTCCATGCACCTCTTACTCCCCCGCATGGCTCCCCAGGTTTCCATCAGCTTTCCTGCTGAAGAAAGGTCCAGGGGGGTCAAGAGTTGAATCTGGGTGAGGAACGGGAGGTGGATTCATCTGAAGCCAAGAATGTAGGTTCTCTGGGGTCCTGTTACATGTCCCTCATTGATGTTGGAGAGAGTAACAGTGACCGAGACCCAAGGAGGCTGAAAATGTCCTGAATCTGCCCCTCAGTTGGCCCCAAGCTGTTAAGTGTCACCTGAGGTTCCAGCTGACCACATGCACAGGAACTAGCCCAGGAGCTCCACTGTGATGCTCTGCCCAATAAAATCCAGAATACAGTGCTGAGAAACAATGTGACACAGTGACACAAAAAATCCTCCTGGCAAAAAGTCACTGGGTTGACAATAGATGTCTTTACTACCCTTTAGGCTCCAGATCTGCTTATTCTTACACAAAGTTGCAAACTGCACCAACTCAGATACTGCAAGAACATCTGAGACCAACCCACAAACAAATGGGTGTTGTGGCTAGAGTCTGGCCCTATGGATAAGAGTGGATGCTCAGGGCAAGGCAGCCTGTCACCCCTTCTTGGTAGGCTGACCAGTTGATGTACCTATCTCAGCTTAGTTTCCTCCTCTGCCAAATGAGGACAAAATAGTACTTTATTGGTTGGTTCTAGGATGAAATTAAATGATGCACAATGATGAAATAATATAGCTTAGGGCCTGTCACTTGCTGGACATAGATATTCACTAAAGTTAATTGAAAAAAAATTAAATCTTATTTTACTGTGTTATATATACACAATGGAATATTACTCATCCATGAAGAAGAATGAAATCATGGCATTTGCCAGTAAATGGATGGAACTAGAGACTATCATGCTAAGTGAAATAAGCCAATCCCCAAAACCCAAGGCTGAATGTTCTCTCTGATGTGTGGATGCTGACTCACAATAAGAAGAGGAGAGAATAGAAATTCATTGGATTGGACAAAGGGGAATGAAGGGAAAGGAGGGGAGATGGGAATAGGAAAGACAGAATGATGAACTGGACATAACTTTCCTATGTTCATATATAAATACATGACCAGTAAAACTCCACATCATGTACAACCACAAGAATGGGAAGTTGCACTCCATGTATGTATGATATGTCAAAATAGACTCTACTGTCATGTATATCTAAAAAGAATAGATAAAAAAATAAAGGAAAAATCTTATTTTACTAATCCAATCAAGGGCAGGACTATGCTAAATCTTTCCAATGTAGTTTCTCATTAAACATGCCTAATGTGCCTGGCATATGCTAAGTGCTCAGTTGGTATGAGCTAATGGGTCCTTATCAATACAGGTCATGCTACACCAAGTTGAGTAAAGGACCATTCACTGCAAGAGAAAGGGAAATGATATGGCAAAGTCAAGTCAAGGTCAAAGGAATGGTACTGGAAAAAATGCATGGAGTTTGCTTCAAGAGGCTTAAATATAATGTGGATTTGGCCAAAAGTCATTCTTCCTAAACAGTGATACATAAAGAAAGTCCACCCGGTAATCAGTGCCACAGTCGGGTGCTTTCATTGACTCTCTGAGACATTGTTAAAATGTAATGGTGGTTGTTTTTTATTTTTCCAGACTTGAGTAACATTGTTTCAAATCTTAAAATCCCTTGGAGCTTGCTGCCAAAATGTGTCTGAAAGTGTCTCAAACGTGAAAAAAGCCGAGGACCTCTGACACAGTGGCTTGGACGCTCTGGCTGTCAACTTGAGCAGATGTTGGTTCATCCTGTGTCCACCCCTTCTGTCTGTCCTGGGATCCAGACAGGACTCCAGCCCTTGCCAGGGTGCTGCGGGGACACGCTCAGGAAAGCACACTGTCCAGCACCCGGCACACCGCAAACCCAGCGGGGATGTGGCCGATTTTCATTTCTCCTTTATATGTCCCCCTTCCATATTTTCTAGGATGAGGCATTTGTTTTACCATCAGAATGAAGACAAACATTGAAAGAAGACGCAGCTGGTCACATAGGTGGCTTTGTCATTGATTGCTGTCTAACAATTGTAGTGTATTGATTTAAGGCAAGACGTGCTTAGTGTCGACGGTTCCCGTGGGTTGGGAGTACAGATATGGCTCAGGGGGCCTCTGCCAGGGTCCTGAGGCTGCCGGCCAGGTGTCAGCCAAGCCGTGCCTCCGCTGGAGGCCTGACTGGGGAAAATCGGCCCTAGGCTCACTTGAGTGGGCAGAATTCATTTCCTCAGGGCTGTGGGACGGAGGCCCCTCAGACCCAGAGGTCACCCGAGGCTTTTTGCGGTGGGTTTCCCCACATGGCGCTTACCGTGTCAGCTGGCACAGAGCCCTGCTAGCAGGACAGAGCCTTACTCATGTGGCCGGATGACGGCCTGGCCTCCTGGCACCTTTGCCACCTTCTTGGTTCAAAGCCAAGTCACAGAGCTGCTCACCCTCCAGAGAGGGGCTTATGCAGGAGTGAAGACCAAGGGCAGCCATGGGTGCTCCTGAGAGTCTGTCCTCCATGGTAGGTCGACCTTTTTGAAATAAATGTCAGAGTCCTAAACTCATCATTCCTAAATATCAAATGGAGATCCCCGGGGGCTGGGCCTGTGTTCCAGGAGTCCGGTGTGACGGAGGGGAGTGGGGCAGGGGACGAAGCTGGGACAGGCGGAGCACAGCAGGGCGGCCCCCTCCTCTCGCACTCCTGTGTGCCCCAGAGCAACGAAGGGGCTGCAGACAGGACAGGAGCACAGGACCTGAGCGCGTCACCTGAGTGTGCATGTGAGTGTGTGGGTGTGAGGAGTGTGTGAGGGTGGGTTTGTGTCAGTGAGGGTATGCGTGTGTGTGTTTGTGTGTGGGTGAGTGTGTGGGTGAGTGTGCGGGGCTAAGTGGAGAGGGCAGGTGTCCGCAGCTAGGCCCGCTGAGAAGGCGGGTGGGCCTAACCAGCGGAGGGTTCGCTCGTGCGTGTTGGTGTCAGGTCTATTTGTCTGTCTTAACCACTAGCTTATGGGCATGTCCTTCAATATCATTAAACGGAGCAGAGGAAAAGCCTCCTCCAGGAGTGTTCCAGAACATTCTCCTCTCCTTCCTGGGATCGTTGTATCAACAGAGGTCACAGCAAAGGCAGAAAGACCCAGGAAGAGGAAGCATGGGGCTAAGGAATAAGGAAGAGAATTGAGAGGGACTCCAGAGTTTGGGGAGTCACGTAGGCTGGGGGGACGTCGCTCCCGAGAAGCTTGTAGAGGAAGGTCACATAGAGCAAGGGTTGGTCCATAAGGCCTCTGAGTGGTGGTGGTGCCGCCGTTGCGCGACACTCTCCTTAGGCCTGTGTCCCTGTTCACAGGGCGGTGAGGACAGACTGCCTCCCAAAGGAGGCCTGCTGTTAATTGGGTTTGCCTCAAGTGTAATCAAGTCTGGGGAACTTTTAGCCAAGTACATGCAGCACCTTGGAGGCCCAAGCCTGAGAGGCAAGTCGGCTTCCTGGGGGGACAGGCCTGGCATGGGCTGGCGAGGCGTGGAAATGGGGGTCAGCTTGGATGGGAAAGATCAGCTGAGAGGAAGCCTGGAAGCTGGGAGCCCTCAGGAAGCTCAGCCCTGAGCCTTCAGGACCCTGCGTTTTCCCTGAGGGCCGTCCACGTTGCAGCTGGGCTTGAGGCACCTAGACCGAAGGACCTTCAAGATAACGGTAGGGGGGATTCATTGATTTGGTCTAAAACTTACTTTTCCTAGTTTCCATGGGGGGACGAGGGAGCGTCCTTCTAAATAACAGTCCCTGCCCATCTGGAGCTCCCAGCCAGTCAGCCCCCACGAGCAGCCTTCTGTGGGTTGGCTCATGAAACAGCAGCACCCTTGGGTTCACACCACCGGGCTCACAGAAGGGGACATGAGATTCGGAAAAGCTGGACAGCTTGTGCCTCAGTTTACATCCTGGTTGCAGCATGCGCTAGTCCTCTAGCCCCGGGCAGAGGGCTGTACCTCAGCTGAGAAGCCGAGTTCCCGAGGGAACCGGTGCCCCTACCCAGGGGTTCCTGGGAGAGCTGTCGTCACACCTACGTGAGTGGGCGGCTCAGAACAGGGCCTGGAACGTGGTCAGCTCTGCACACACCACTCATGGCCTGCCAGCTCTGCTGCCCCCCGGGATTCAGGCCATGCTCATACCTAGCACATTTAGATTGAGGCCTTGTCTTAGTGTGCTTGGGTTCCAAGACAAAGTTCTATGGACAGGGTGGCTTAAATGACAGAAATTAATTTTCTCACAGTTCTGGAGACTTGAAGTCCAAGATCAAGGTGATGGGCAATTTGATTCCTGGTGAGAGTCTGCTTCTTGGCTTACAGATGGGCCATCTTCTTGCTATGTCTAACAGGTGTGTGTGTGTGTGTGTGTGTGTGTGTGTGTGTGTGTGTGAGAGAGAGGGGGGGGGGGGAAGAGGGGGAGAGAGAGAGGAGGGGGAGCGCACTCTGGTGTCTCTTCTTATAAGGGCACAAATCCTTTCAGGAGGGTCCTACCTCATGGCCACATCTAACTCAAATCACTTCCTCACTCCAATACGGTCACCTTGGGAATTGGGATGCCATGTGAACTGTATGAATTTGGGGCACAAGCAGGTGACAGCAGGCCTTTCAAACATCCCTCAGCAGAAGAATCTGAGACAACCTCTCCCTCTGAACCTGGTTCTTCTCCTTCCTAGGGGAGTGGGGCCACCCGTCCTCCCTCACAAAGCACGGATTAATAGTGGATGACCGGCCTGAACTTAGGAGTGTTCAGAGGTGGTTCTTGAGGTTCCCTGCTTGTCCCCCCACCCACCAGTCCCCACCACTGGTTTTAGGCACAATGGCTAGAACATACCTGACTGGGGAAGGCATCAGGGCAGGTGGGGGCCAAGAAGACAGTGTGTCTCCTAAGTGGCACCAAACAGCCTACAACAAGTTGGTCCAGTGAGGGCCAGGAGACAGGCCATGGCTGGCCTGGACCACGGCCACTCTGCCCCTGTGGTGGGAACACCTTCTCCTTCCCTGGGCCTTGGCTGAAGGCTGCTCACTGGCCTCTGTGTAGTTTTCCTCAGCCCTTCCCCAGGGTCAGGGAGGACACAGTGTGCTTTTCTGTTGTAGTTGTTTGTTTTGGTCACTGAGGATTGAACTCAGGGGCACTCAACCACTGACCCACATTCCCAGCCTTATTTTGTGGCTGAGTTGGGCTTGGAACTCGTTATCCTCCTGTCTCAGCCTCCAGAGCCACTGGTGTCACAGCATGTAGTTTTTGATGGGCTTTTATGCCAGGTGTCCTTGCCAGGGTTGGAGGAAGAGCCCTTGGCAAGCCAGGAATTGCAGTTCTGGGCAGGCACCTTCCTGTCTTTCCTGCACCTGGAGGCCCCGCAGCACTCTGAGGTGCATGGTTCAGCAGAGACCCATGAAGTAATGAAAGAAGGGTGGGCACCAACTCTCACCTGCAGGAAAGGGAGCAGAGGGTAGAGCAGGCAGGTCAGGGGGGGTCGCCCTCCAAAAACTCACAGGTACCAGCACAAAACTTTCACATTTTGCAGTTCCATTCTTGTTGATCTCATTTGAGCCACATGCAAATAGTAAGATGTTTTCAAGATACAGATTCATCTCACATAAGACCTGGAGGTTTACACAGTCTTAATGTGGGTGGGATTTTAGTTTCACCTACTTCTAATCCCTTCCACCGCATCCATCAGGTGATGTTCTCACTGGAACCTGGAGCTGCTGCCTGTGTCAGTCCCCTTCTGGGTGAGTCCCTCACCCTGTCCTTCCTTTGGCCTCAGGCTCCCAGTGTGTGGGGACTGAGGACACCTAGCATCGTAGCCGATGGACAGAAGTGTGAGGCAGAAACGTGAGTTCTGGGGAGATCAGTCTCAGGAGATTCAGATTTGACTGGAAGCGCTCCCGGAACACAGTCGAATGCTCAGCCCCCCAAAATGAAGCCCACTGTGGCAAGTCCTCAAATTAGTTTCCTTTCTGGGGCTCTTGGAGGCCTCGATGAACTTGTCTTCGTCAGAGGTCACAGGCTCTAGTTAACCACCCTCTGCTTCCCACAGCCTCTCCCTGCCAGGAATGATCAATGGATCATTGGCTCTCCTAGTGGCCTCTGCTAGAGCCCCTAACAGTGGTTGCTTCTGGGCTCTGCGGTGGCACCATGATACTCTTTATTTTTTTTTTTTTAATAGATGAAAGGATTTATTGGTTTGGCTAGTGCACCCTTTTGAACTCGTGATCCTCCTGTCTTAGCCTCCAGAGCCACTGATTCATTGATTCATTCAATTTATTCAAAATGTTCATCAAGCACCTGCCACGTGGTTGCACTGCTGTAACCTCTGGGGGAGTCGTAATGACAAAGGGACCACATATCCCCGCTGGCACAGGAAGAACAAGTGAAGAAAGCAGTATCTTATTAGCCAGTGCTGTGGAGAGAAGTCAGGTGGAGGTGCCGGGCCGGGAGGGCTGTGGAGCCCCATTGCGATTTTACTTGGGAGGACAGGGATGGTCTTACTGAAAAGGTGACATTTAAGTTCAGGGTGACATAAGTTTCAATGACACCAATGAATAAAGATTGTCAAAGTTTTCTAAAAACAGGTTTTCCTGTCTTTCACACAAGCTTTCAAACATGTCCATTTTCCTTAGCAAAGAATAATGTCAAAGAATGGCTTAAAGAGACCTTGTGGATAATAAGGGCTGCACCCTGGGAACTTGGTGCTGCCATTTGGGACTCAATAAATAAAATCAATAAGACTCTGAGTTCAGGCAGTGAAAGAAGAATGGCTGAGACAGAACAGAGGATGCCAGTATCTGTGTACTTGGCTGCAGTGACACAGGAGTCGAGTGGCGCTGCCAGTGCTTCATTTGAGTTTCTCAATAGCATTTTCACTGAAGCGGAACAAGCCTTAAAGGAAGTGCTCCCTTCTACGCCCGGGGCAGGGAAAGCACAAGGGGAACCTGGCTTCTTGTTGTGCCAAAAATAAGATTCTTTTTTGTTTTCAAGGAGAGGCAGGATGCACACAGCAGCTTGGCACCCAACTGGCCAAATTTTGGACAATTTGAGCTTCAAAAATAAATACAGTAAAAAAGAAGCCATGAGTTTATGATGTACTAAAAGGAGTAGCAGTGGTTAGAGTTCCTTTTTACAGAAGATAGAGTCTAGTAAATACAGACGGAATGTCCTGAGCAGCTTTTCTGCTGCCATGCCCGGCCACCATGATGTGTGTTCTGCCTCACCTCAGGCTCAGAGGAAAGGAACCCACCAACCACAGACTGAAACCTCCAAAACCATGAACCAAAATAAACCTTTCTTCCTCCAAGTTGTTTGTGTTAGGTATTTTTGTCACAGTGATGAAAAGCTGACGGACACACATTGTAACCGAGCAACTGCATTTATCATCATCTAGACTGGGATGAGTAGAATAGGAAGTAGTCAACAACACCTATGAAGTTCACTTCCTAAAAATGTTTTACCTGAATCTAATCATGAAGAAACAACGAGATAAATCAAGATGATGGGACATTGTACAAGACAACTGCTCGGATCTATTAAGAAATGTCAACATCATA